CAGATCAACATTGCCTGCAACAAGAACTCCATTCCCGGTGACAAGTCCGCCCTTACCCCCTGCGGTATCCGTATCGGCACTCCTGCCATGACCTCTCGTGGCTTTGGCGAGGCCGATTTCGAGCGCGTCGGTACCTACATCGATGAGTCCATCAAGATCTGCAAGGAGGTTCAGGCGTCTCTCCCTAAGGAGGCCAACAAGCTCAAGGACTTCAAGGCCCAGGTTGCCAGCGGCAACGTTGCTAAGATCAACGACCTCCGCAAGGAGATCGCCGCCTGGAGCTCTGGCTTCCCCCTCCCTGTTGAGGGCTGGCGTGTCGACGCTGGCATCTAAACGATGCTCAGCGACGTGTAGAGCTGCGCCGCTCATTCTAGGGAGTGGCGTCTCGGATCAAGGGAGGATTGGATTGATACCACATTGGGCATACGTGCCCAGTTCAACAGACATGGTTCACAAGGGATAAAACAAGCGCGGGGCGACTCGTGCATGACATTTAACATGGCTCATGAAAGGGAAGGTGTTTTCAACACTAGATGCATTTTCTTCAGGCGTTTCAACTCTTTTGTTAAAGCGGAAAACAAAATACCGGGAGGGTAAAACAAAATCCATGGGCGGGAGTTGGTGCGGCGTTCTCAACTTCGGCCTTTTATTTTAGGTAGAGACTGCTTCAACGCAGTCCAAGGATCAATGGCATCAACTCATTGACTTGCAGCTTTTTCCTCCATGTTACGATATCACTGTGACTCGGCGTCTCTTTGATGAGGCGTTCATAAAAGATGACTTTGTGTCCGTGATCAAAGACGACGTAATTCAAATAGCGCGAAACGCTTTGCTGGTGACCTCACAATAGTATTCTTCTTACCTTTGAGAACAAGGCATTGTCTGCTTCACGCTCCTGGAATCCCTCATCGTCGAACGGGTGCAGTTTGCATACAATATGGCTGTTCTTAGAACAAAGATTGCTTTGGTAATAGATATTGTATAATATATTCGTGGCATGTTCTGAGACCAGTAGAATATTCCGATTAGCATCAACAACATCAAACACATCGACCCGTAAGTTCTATCCTACTTACCTCTATCACTCACCCTCAACGATATACCTACAGCAACCTTCATCAGACATTTCGTCGGCTGCTTTTACAATTCAATCGCTGCCAGTAAGAATCCAATACACATTTAGCTAACGAGCACAGTTCTTGCAACGACAACAATAGCCAAAATGGTGACGGCCAAGATAACCTTCCTTCTTTCCATCTTCGCGCTGGCCGCTGAGATCCCCTTGGCGCAATCCCACTGCCTACCCCCCTTTCCTAATAACACAAACAGCTCGAACACGACCCATCAGGACCTTAGACCCAGTAAAGCTCCCCTTCCAGTCACACTCAGCGAAACCGATTCAAACGACCCGGACATCGACGGTATTTATATGAAGACCAGCGAAAGACTGTCGGCCAGTCTCTGTGGCGCATCCTCCTACACGAGCAGTACCACCGCCACGTCGCCCCTAGTATCAGACTGCCGTCAGCTTGCTGAAAAGATTCGACGCGATAAACACTATACAACCGTATACGGCTATGGCGATAATCAAACTATCTTTCCCATTCTTACTTACGGAAGTTGTATGTTTGGTGTCCGTCCTGCATGGACCGAAGATGTCCACACATGGCAGTATGGCTGGTACATTGGCAATGAGGATATTTGGCAGATTGCGAGTCGAGTGGCAGACGAGTTCGAGATCGATGGCCGCAGCAGTGGTAACGGGCTCACGCATTGTGTTGTGAACAAGTATGTAAGTCCGGGAATTGACGTTCACTGGGCCGTTTTTAGCCGGGAGCAGTGGAAGGCAGTTGGCTGGAAATTGGCGCCACCCATCCCATCCGCTGGTGACAAGAACATGGTCGGTATCTCAATCGCCATGTTTGCAGCATTTTCATGGATTTTCGTTCTCTGGTAGATCTGCTACTGAAGGAGGGGGTCTGGAGGGGTTATCGGACTGTTTGGCCAAGAACCATTCGTTGTCTAGGCTGAAATGCAAATGAAAAGGTTTTATCATTTGTAATCCTAGACATGAACACGACGTTACATGAACATCAGCATCATGAAAGATTGAGTAGAGACACCAAAATACTCGAATCCTGCTGCGTGTACCGAGAAAGTCTTCCCGTGTCAAACTCTGCGAATGTCACTTGCCACAACATAACATATTTCCCGCAGAAGGAAGGACAACATCGGCAAGCTTCGGCCGGGGGTGTGCGAGGTCGCACACCTGCAACGTGACTTGAGACTAAAGACTGCTGACTGGATGATATTTTCCGGCTTTGGCAGTTCTATAAGTTAAAACTCCGCCGTTTTTTTGTCAGACGTATGCCGTCAGCTTCTGCCTCTCCATGGCGTTCACTTGGCGTTCACTCGATTACTTCGGCTTACTCGTCGGCAATATGCTTTACATGCTAAGGGGATCCACAGAGACGTTGTAAGAAAAGATGGAGGAAGGGAGTGATGCCAGACAACCTTTTCGGCCAGGCTTGAATACGCTACAACTTCATGTACGGCGAGACTGCCTCTCGGTCTTGTGTTGGGCATTAGGATGGCAGACACTGAAGGTAACCAATGTATTTCTCTGTTGCCGAAGAAATGTAACTCTGTATCCTGGTGGCTTTTTTCCGGAAAAGCTCTGACAGACAACTTGTAAGTCAGAGCAGCAATATTGTGTGACACATTTGGGGAGAGGCCGCGACCGCCAATCATAACTGCCAGCACGCCGTTAATAGTGCTACACCGGGATAGCGAGGAATAAGTAAAGACATGCTGGAGGGCGAAATCCCAGCACTGACGACTAATTGGGCGCCAGTGATGAGGATTACAGGAGTACAAGGTTATCCTCGGGCTAGTTTGCCCAACTTTGCAGGAAAGCCCCCGAAAGGCGTTTGAGAGATCTCAGCCTCCGATGTTGCCAGAGGCAGCGCGCATGCTCTCTGGTGGCCGTTGAAGGTTTGTAGGCGCTGGTCTGAGTCAAGACGGCGTGACGGACTCATAGCAAGATATGGGACCCACACATCGAGGTCAGCTGGCGTCTCCGTCGCCGCGATCTCGGAAGAGCCTCGCGAGGGAAGGAGTTTATGCCCGGCTCACTCGATAGAGAAAGCGAAGGCTAGGCCTAGAGATGTCGTCGGGCTGTCAAAGGAGGCTTTTTCTGTCCTACATATTGGCACATCGAGACACTCAAGTTGATCTTCAACCTGCCTTAGTGCACGCCAGGGTCGCAGCTGCCGGGATTCCCCGCCTGTGCCGGAGGGGGTTGGTGTTGCATGCGCCTCCTCCGCGCTTCGTGTCGTACAGTGATGATCAATGGACTTGCAGAGAAACATCGCCTTGTGTTGGGTGAAGACCTTCTTCCAAGAATGAGGCTTCGGGATTGTGCACCGATCAGTCGTCTGAACATTGAAAAACCTCACGCCCTCAACTCGGACTCGGAGAAGAGAACATGCCAGCGATTTTGCCCCAAGTGAGACTTCCCACAAACTCTGTCGATTTCCTACCGTGAGTCAACTAGTTGTCCTCGCCCTGGGCGCCAGAAACGAAAACATAAAAAAAAGGCGTTGTTCTGTGACATTTGGTTACGTCATCGGTCTTGCGACCGTGAATATTCACCGAAGCAACAAGGCGGTGCTCTTGCTGGGCAATCGATTTACGGCAGAGCCTCTTCGTATTGGTTTTTCCGATTTTGACACTCTACGCGCCGGTTCGGACGACGATGTCTGACTGGCTGGTTGATGCTTCCGCTCGTGTTCGTCTGATGTGATAATTTGAGCTGTCATCTCGTCTCGAACAGGGTCAAATGCGCCCGCAAGTCAACTGGCTGTAGACAGGTGCCTCGGCCGGGCAAAATAGTGTAAACGAAGCGAGGATCATGGCGGGTGAACAGAGTCACTGGTCAGAACCTAAAGAGAATGCAAGACAGGAAAAGCAAGACAAGATCGGTGGCGCCGTTTGATGTTTCGGAACGGCAAGTGCGCTAGTGTCGTGCTCTTCTTTTGGCGCCGTCTCTGCATGTTCCATTTCCTCATCACGAGCTTCAGCTCCGTTCTGAACAGAGGAGGTGACGAAAGAATGAATCAAGTCGGGCTGAAGGAGGACTCCAGAGGATGCGCGCAACGTTGCCCAATGAGGGAGGACGGACGATGCTGCATGGGCAGGGTTGATGAAAATCTGTGGCGCGCGATGCACAGCAGCAGTTAGGGGGCAGGCGGGGGCCACTACGGGGAAACACCCTACCTCCCTTCCCTTACAGGTGGGCACTTAGATTAAGCCAGTAGCGTGCGGCAAGGGCGCACCTGCGGCGCATCAGATGCAAGTGCCAGAGCAAGTGGCCACTCCCCTCCACTAACAATGCAACAGCGCCTCATCTGCCTTCTGTTGCAACTGCGTACCACGACCCAGCAAAACATCCTGCTCTTATTCGTTGTTCTCTCTTTTACACACCTCGCGCCCTCCTGTATTTAGGAAGGTATTCAATGCTTGTGTCACCAGATCGCCCAGCGTGTTACACCCCCCTCCCTGAGCATCGCACGCCTGAGCTTGCTTGCTGTGTCTGAGGACACCTCTGAGGACACGGCAAAGACGGGGACGAGGACGAGGACGAGGACGGACGACACGAGGGAAGGTGACGACGCCAGAGTGCCTGGGGCCCGATAGAGCTCCAAGACAGGCAGACCAGGCAGCGAGCATCATTGGCTCCGCCTGACGCGCATCATCGCGCCTCGCCTTGGTTCCCGTCCTCCCGTGAGGTATTGTAGGCTTGGTACACTTAGTGGTTGGGGCGAGAGCCCCTGATCGTATAAAGACGACGTTCATGCAAGGTTCCCCCTCAGCCGTCGATGTCGAATGGTCCATCACCAAATACTCTCCAGAAGCCAACCGGAATAGACGTCAAATAAGCTGCAGTAGCGCATACAGCGGAAGTCGAGTCCCCTGCTGCTGGGCCCGAGCAGGCAAGCATGGTAAGTTGCCTCTACGGACGAGTATCTTCGATCTCGGCTCAGCATCTGTGTTCCACCCCCCTTTCCTAATACACTTTCACAGGGGTCTATTCAGAAGACCGTTTCACGCTTCGAGATCACTGCCGTCTACACGCATCCTGAAGCCAATGTCGATGTCGTTTTGGTCCACGGTCTGAACGGCGACCCAAAGAATACGTGGACGGCCAAGGACGACCATAACCACAGCATTTTTTGGCCTGCAGATCTTCTCCCAATGTCACTTAGAGGCCTTCAGGCCAATATCCTAGTATACGGCTATAACGCTGACGTATACTCAACCAAGAACGACTACAGCGCCAGTGACAACTTCATTTATCAACATGCTCAAAGCCTCGTCACTACCCTGACCCTCTACCGCAAGAGCGAGGGTAGTTCTAATAATGCCATCATCTGGGTGGCACATAGTCTGGGCGGTCTCCTCGTCAAACGTTGTCTGTTATACTCCAACGACGTCAAGGACAGAAATCATGAGGACTATAGAGCCATATTCGTCTCTACCTACGGAATCGTCTTCCTCGGCACCCCTCATGGGGGCTCTGATATGGCGAAATGGGGCCAGATGATCCAGAACATGTCCGACGCCATCATCCCTCGGAAGCTCTTCGACAGTGAGTCCGTACTTCTCAAGACTCTGAAAAAGGACAATGAAACCTTGCAAAATATCAACATCCACTTTCTCGACATATATCAACGGTTCAAGATCCACATGGTCCACGAAAACCACAAGACTGATGTCAAAGGCACAAAGTGAGTCACCCAATTTAAGTCTTTGGTGGAAAGCAGACTCTTACTCTTCCCTAGGATGTTAGTTGTCGACGCACGCTCGGCTGGACCACAGCTGCCGGGGGTTACATACTACGGCATCGAGGCCACCCACTCTGGCATGTGCAAATTTCCCGACCAACATGCACCCGGCTACCGCAACGTCTCGACTGCCATTCGTGACTGGGTGAGGGAATCTCCATCAGTCATCCAGACTCGGTGGATCGTCGAGCGAGACGACAAATGGGTGCGAGCTCAAACAGAAGCTGCCGAGAGGACGAGGGAATATGTGAGTGCTTTGCCGCCCTAGAATAGCAGTTAATGGCTAATCCATGAGACAGAGCGAAACGTACTCGACACCACTGATCTCGCCCTCAGATACGCCCAGCACCACGGCCTTCCCTTCCCAGGAGGAATCTCAGCCCGATTTACGGTCTTCATGGCCGCCTTTCATCCACCCTGACCGTTTTCGTCCCAACGCGTTTTTCAAGGGACGTGAGGAGGAGCATAGAGATCTTCATCGGATGCTGATGGACACAAGACGAAGATCAGAAGGCACGTCAGCTGTTTTGATCCAAGGAATTCCCGGAGCAGGAAAGTCACACCTGGCACGGCAGTACGTATTCGATCACAAGGACGACTATCCCGGCGGTATATATTGGATCAGATCGACCACGGTGCAGGACATGGAAGAAGGCTTCTGGCGGATTGCCAAAACCGAAGCTATCAGGCAGAGGGTCGGCCAAGAGAAGAAAGACGACCTATCCGACCCCCAGAAGATGGTGAAGATTGTACGAAATTGGTTCAACGAGTTTAACGGCTGGCTGCTAGTCCTCGACGGCATTCGCTTCGACAACGACAAAGTGACCAACTTTATTCCTGACTGTAAAAACACCAGCCTCATTCTGACGTCGACGGAACGGCCTGATCCAGGCAACTATCTCCTGGACAACCCAAGCATCATGGAGCTTGGCCTCCTTCCGGCTCAAGCCGCTCGAGATCTCTTGCTCCAGGAGATGGGCAAGAGGCAGCCATACACATCCGACGACCTGAGACGTGCCTTAGAGTTGGTACAGCTGATGGATCGCCTTCCCTTGATGATCCATGCTGCCGCCCAGCAGATGAATGCGACTCGGGAGCCACTTGCAAAGTATCTCAAGTCCTTCCGCGACAAGCCCAGACCCGGCATGCTGCCTGCGTATAAGACGATACGAGATCAGCTTCAAACTCTTGGAGACACATCCGCACTGAATCTGATGTACATCCTCTGCTTCTTCAGCCAGTTGGTCCCGGTAGAAATGCTCGCGCTTGGCCTGAAAGCTTTGGACAGGGCCACCCCAATCAGAACAGATGCGAACGGCAAGCCCCGCAGCTTGAACAAGACCTTCATCACACTCATCAGGTTTGCACTCATTGAGAGGAGCGAAATGGATGATATACCGTCTTCAAGCTCGCGAACTTCTGAACACAGCAGCGATCCGGCGGCAGAGCCACTAGATGTCCTCCGAATCCACAGCGTCGTCCAAGCGTTTTTCATCCAGCTCCTTGCGGAAGAGAAGCAGTTGGAATTCTGGCTTGCTCGAGCAGCCCGCATCTTCTGCCTCTCTTTTGAGGCAGCCGATGATCGGATGAAGAAGGACCCAACGACTGGTTTGCCTGACGACTACAGAAGATACGCTATACACGGGAGGAAGCTGATGGAACACTTGGATCGGCACTACAAATCTAAAGACGTTTCCAAAAACGTCGCTGCAGAGCTAGCATCACTCAGACAGAATCTGAAAAGCAAGCTCTCGAAGCTACCGAAAGAGATAGATGGCTTACAGAGGGCGATTTCGGCCGGTATCGTCGACGGCAAGGAGGTCCTAGATCACTGTTCAGTCTTTGAGCGTACGAACAGCCTATCTTCGGAATCCACAAATACGTCGAACGCCTCTGACGGTCGCGGGCCAGATGCGACCATGCCGTACGTGCCTCAAGCAGACAGCGACGACGCATCTTCTACACCGCGGCCGCCGGCCTACAGTCCAGGGACCCGGTACGTCGACCACTTTTCCGACAATCGAACAGTTGTCCCATACCCTCCAGACACATTTGACGCGTCTTTTGACGATCCAGCCGACCCTGAATGGACAGTCGTTAGGAAGCATCGATCCGTGAAGAAGCAGGAACAGCGACGATACCACGACCGCGGAGGTGCATGGAGAGAAACTTCTGTGAAGGATCCTCGTACTAGTGTTAGCCGAGAGTCTGCATGCGGCCTCATATCTCCGCCAGGTTCTATCAGAGGCGGCCGTTCACCAAGTCATTCCCGTATCTCCGCCAGAAGTGACGCCGAACTTGAGCTTATGCACATTAAACAGGCATCGCCTCCCCCACCCCGTGGTGGAGGCCACATCCAAGACAAAGGGCCAAGCTCCAGCACTGGCAATGGCACAAAACCGTGGCCAGTGCTGGGGAGGACAAGCTACGCCCAGGCACTCTCTGGGACAGCAGTTGAGGACGAATTGCCGCCATCCCCTACCTTCTCATGTCCTCCATCCAGGGCAGGGACTCTGGATCGAAGGGTGAATTACGACACTATGTCGGTCAACAGCTTGCGGACTGTCGAGCTGCCTGCACAGGCCCGTTCCGGAAGATTGAAGGAAAATCAACTTCGGACTAGTATCGGAAACAGCCCGATAGGCAACCGACCATCGTCTATCTCACAAGAGACAGTCGTTCACAAGACCCCATCGCCGTCACACAACTTTGTGTCTTCCATTCTGCAACGCCTCAGAGGGTCTCCTGGTGAACCAAAAGCAGAAGCCAAAGGGAAAGCGAGGTCCAAGCGATCCAAAGACTCTCTCAAGTCACAGCCATCGACATCAGCGGAGCATCCCCCAACCACATATCAAGGAGGTGTCAGGACGGCCAGTTCCAGTCCTGGAGCACAGTTTCCACCGTTTTATCCTCCAGGCTTACAGATCGTTACGAACAGCTCAAGTAGCCTGTGGCAAACAGCTCCAGAACGGCAATACGCATCCCAACAAGCAACTGAGTCGTACTACCCAGAAGCGGACTATGATGAGCCGCTGTCGTGGTCAGACGCGAGTCTCGGTCACCCGGCTGTTAATGTTTCGTCGCCTGCAACAATGACTCCTCTGAGTCCCACCTTCGCAAGACCACCAGGAGGATACACATCACAGCCAATGTCTCGGAACCCGAGCTCAAACCCGCATGTTGTCGGCTTGACAGAATCATCAGGCACTCCTCGAAGTAGCAGTAGCGGTGGTGCCAGGACAAATCTGAGTCGCCCACGTGCCCCCTCTGTCGTCGAGACAGAGCCCTCGCCGCGTCTTCAGCCGATTGATATGCCACCTACCTCGTACCACGCCTGGGAACGTAGAAGAACCCATCGTCGAGGCGATTCGCTCTTTGGTGGTAGCAATGTGCCTGCTTATCGATATCTGCCCACTGCGCAAATGCCAAGTTTCCGTTCGCAACAAGACAGTCCAGATATTTCGAGTCCCAGGACTAGCCCGCAGATCGGAGCCGATGGTGAGAGCATGAGTCGGTCAGGATCAGGTGGTATTCGAGTTGACGATGGTAGGGTCATTGCCTTCGGTGAAGTACCTGTCGATCTCGAAGCCGCCGGCCGCAGAGCGCGGGAAGCTCGAGATAGACTGGATCGAGTGGATCGAGCCGCTATAGAGGCGGTAGACGATGCGCGCGCCGTACGAGCCGGCCATGCGAGTGCAGGTTCTGAACCGGTGCCTGTGGGACTGGGTATTCTTTGACGGAGCGCCGTACGGATGCTGGAAAAGTTGATCTCAACACATTGGCTAGATGATTTAGAGATGGCCTTGCCAGAGGCTTGAAGTTCGGTATTCGGCGCCATGTTGTGTTTTTATTTCATTCGCATAAGATAGGCACTGATACAACAAAATACGTGGAGTTTTCTTTTGTTACGTTTTTCTAGAGTCCTTTTCGCAGAACGTGTGGTTGGCTGTCCGACAATTTGAGAGACAGCAAGGACAACCCTCAATACGAAGGTGGCCTATTTCAATGTTTATTCCATGACTTTCTAACCGCTAATGATGCCCATATGACCAACGTGCGATGTCATGGCAAATTACCCTTCCCAAAAGCCCCCTGAGTGGCTTGCAAGGCCTACGATCCACACAAAATCTTGCGCTCGGCCTATTCTAATGCGATCTTCTCATACTCGGGGCTCCAACCTCCGTTCATTTTCAGACTCTCCATCGAGTCTCACGTTCCTCTTGGCCTTTCCATGGCGCCAAGTACCGTCCTCCATCTCAGCTTGCCCAAGCCCCTTAGTTTTTGGGTGCCAACATGAGGACGTATTCTCGCGTACTGTGCCCCAGCTTTATCATGTCCTTGTCCCTAAGCTCATAGTACCGGCTGTCAGCCACCTTATCTCCGTTGAGGACCGTTCCATTGGCGCTTTCGAGGTCAATCAGGTAGGGCTTGACCTTTCCGATACGGTCTCCAAACTCGTTGCGCTTCTCGACATGTCGGAATTGAATAACAGCATGCTGCTTGCTGATGCTTGGATGTTCCGCCATCATATCTACAACCGCCGCCTCGCGCCCAATAAGCCAGCAGCTGCGCAGGTTCAAGTCAATTGTGTCAACAATGTCGCTCCCCTTGAAGACAAAAAGCTTCCACTGGTCCTTCGCCGGCGGCTTGCGCGCCTCTGCGGGCTCGTGGTATTTGAGAACAATCGACGTTCCATCCGCCTGTTGCACCGAGTTTGACGCCGCGGCCAGAACGCCAGTCGTGCGCAGGTTCGGCTTCTCCTTTGGCTTCTCGGGCTCCTCGCCCTTGGACACGGCAAAGGAGTCGTCTTGCGAAGGAAGCGGCCCCGCGCGATGGAGGGGACTGGCGCGCGTTCGTGTGGAGTCGTCTGCTTCCGATCCATCGTCGCGGCGTCGACGTTTCAGTTCCTTCCCGCTGCTCCTTCGGTCGTCGTCTCGTGGGGATCGCTCCCTGCGCCTTTCTCGGTCGCGGTCGCGGTCGCGGTCTCGTGAGTAGGATCGTTTGCGTGCCGAAGGGTCTGGTGTGCGTGAACGCCGCCTCTCGCGTTTGTCTCGTGATCGTGACCTCCGCCTTTCCCTGTGCCTGTCCGAGTTGCGAGCCCCCTCCCTTTCTCTGCTGCGTCTGCGCCGGTGGCCGTCTCTGTCTTTTGTGTCTCTGCGTCGTCGCTCCTCCTCGTCCTCGTCGCGCGTGCACCGCGATCTGTGGCTGCGGTGGTCGTCGTCGAGACCCATCGCCGTGTTGTATGACTTTGCGACCCGTTTGGTAGGGAAGAAAACGAAAGGACAGGGTATTATTTCATACGGTGGGGAGTTCAAGGTTGCTGAAATTTGAGGAAGAAAATCATGTGCATGGAAATCATCTGATGCTCTGAGCTGAAGTCATCGTACTGCATCCACGGCACCGTGCACTGCCTGCCCCACACCCGCCCTCCGGACCAGGTGACTGCACAGACCATGCAGTATCCACTCGGCCCGGTCCTTCACCTGGCTTCACCGAAAGCATCACCAAAACCACCGCCTCCTGCCTTCGTCAGAAGCAGAAGGCAGGAACCTCTTTCCCAATCAACCCGCATCAAAAATGTAGTGAAAACGTCAAGATAAACGTAGAATCGAATTTTGCCAATAGAGAAAAGTACAAAAACTTACCTCAGCATCCATCTGGCCCCTTCGCGTAACAGCTCTCGTTAAGTTAACAACGCTCAGAACTGCACAGGGTCGCTTCAGCCGAGGCGCGAACCCAAGGGTCTGCGGTTGGTGTTCACTCCAATCAGTTAAGACGGCTAATAACCTACCACTCGCCCAAGTTTCACTTTCGACAATCCATTGCGGGGAAGTTATAGATAAGGAGTCGGCCCAGAGCCCCAGAGCTCTCCCTCCTCCCCCCACCCCCGAGCTCAACCAGGCGACGCCCCTACGGCAGCTTTGGCATTCACCTTACCATCCACCCTCTCACATTACTGGCTTTCAGTGTTTTTCTCCCTGAGGACGAAAGAAAGAAGCCGTACCACGACAGAGAAGTATGTGGCGGAGAGACTGACTGCCTTCCCCTTAGTATCTTCGAATACCCTAAATTCTATACCTCTTTTTCACAGCTCACCTCCAATAACATAAACTTCGTCGCTTTTGAAGCAGCTCAACACCCATGGCCCCATCATGCGATACTAAACTCCTGGATCTCGCCCATTTCGTTCTTTTGCTCCGCGCCTACTTTGTACGACACCCTCCATCGCAGCTTGATGGACTGCACTTTACGATTCTTATCACCAGCATGCCATACCTCCGCAGCTTGCGTCACGCCTCTGCTCTGTTTAGGTTCTAGTGCACGCCCGGTTTGGGGCTTAAGTTGCAGTTCGTATCCCTGTGGTATATCAGTGTGTGCGAGAAGTATGATCGTGACAGCTACTCACCCTTGTCGCCGCGAGTTGGAAGTGAAGCTCGGTCACTGGCTGCGCAGAGCTGTTGGAAAAGGCAAAGCTAAAGTTGAGGGAGTTGCCAGGCCCAACTCTTCCAGCCATCATCTCAATCTTTACAGTAGACTCGCTGATGGTCGCTCTGTGCTCCTTGGGAAGGCTAGGCTGGTCGGGAGGGAGTGCAGACGAGAAAGCCCATTCGTCGTCGTCATTTGCGGCCGGCGCAGCCGGCGCGGGTTGAGGTGCTGGAGCAGGGGTAGATGGTTTGGAGGGAAACGAAGGAGATCCAAGGGCAGCGAAGGGATCAGACGTGGCCGCGGCTTGCTGTGGCGGCTTGAAAGCAGACATTACAGGCGGCTGGGGCGTGCCAGACTGGGACGCGGTGGGGGACGTAAAAGAAGCAAACTGGGAGAAGGCTGGCGGCTGGGGTGTCGTTGAATTACTCATGGGTCCTTTTGCGGAATTAGCCTCCGTCATACTGGACAGCAATGCGGGCCCAGGGACATCTGGTTCTGTCAGTAAGAGCTCGTATCTTGTGAGTGGAAACTTACTGGAATTCGCCCCGAAGCCGAGTGTTAGAGCGCCTCCTTGACCATAACTCGCTGAGTCGCCCATAGACAACCCGAGGAGGTCGTTCTCGATACCAGTTGACTGCGACGTGGGCTGTGCGGAAGATGAGCCATTGGCAGCGTCCGCCTCTCCGTCAAAGTCGATTAAGGACAGCTCTTGCGTTGCGCTCTTGGAAGAGCCTGAAGTGGTGGGTAGTGGTGCGCCGCTGGCCACCTTCTTCGCCGCCTCCAAGTCGCCCTTCTTCATGAGCTTGTACCGCTCGACAGTCCGGTGTATACTGTCGTTGATCTCGAGGAGTTTTGCGACGGCTTCGTGATCATCCGACTCTTCTTCACACATCTTTTGAATCTTGGGCTGCGCACTCTGCAAAGCTGCAGCGAGCTCAGAGAACACGTCTCCATCCTGCATCGTGTCGCCCTGTTGGAAAGCTTCTAGTCTCTCCTCCAGCAGACGTGCCTTGGCCTGAATCTTCGCGACCTCCTGAGCAGCCTTAGCGCGGTAGTCAGTCTTGGAACGAGTATCGTAGCCAGCCATGATCTTCATCAGCCGGTTGGCCTCCTGCAAGTCCTCCGGGGTGCCTCTACGGATCAGCTCCTGCAGCTTGGCGGATTGCGCTTCGCGCTCCTCTTCCTCCATCTCTTCAGCTGATTTCAGGTTCTGCGTTGATCAGCATGCGATGCAATATCTCGCGCAGCAGGGAGACACTTACGTCGCTAGGATTCAACACCGCCGCGTCGTCCCGCCTGACTTCGGGAAAGGTGTAACCCTTGTAACTCAAAAGACGATGCATGTCCCGAATGAAACCCAAGTCTTCTTTGTACCTGCTTGTTTCGCATATCGTACTCCTCCACTCCTCAATGGCCTCCAGGATCTTCATCTGCACTCTCGTCGCCCGTATCGGCGGTCGCTCGGGGAACCTTCTGACCAGCTCATTGAGGAACTCCTTGGTGCTAATCTGCAAGTGAAAGGGATAGCCACAATTCTTAACACAGATGTCAAGCAAGTTGAGAGCCAGAAGGGCCACGTTGGGGTTGCGGTGGTTGATGTAGCTGACTATGGCGACGGCGGCCTCGCGCGGGGCGGAGCCCTTCTTGGAGTTGATCAGATCGGAAATCTCCAGGTTCAAGGCAAGGTTCGGCTCATAGTTCTCTGGGCTGCAAGCGGCCTGAATGAAGCGCTGCAGCTGCGACGGCGTCGGACTGCCCATCTCGCCCCAGCGGTCGCGGGCCGCAGCACGAGCTGATGCGGCCTCCATCGTGACGGTATTGGTATTCGGGTGCGGCCTTGAACGTGGTGGTAAGGGAGCTATCTTGGCGGGAGGGATTTCTCGTTTTCGTCGTCGTCCTCGTCAAAGGCTACGGCGCGAAAGGCATTACAGACGGGTAGCCGTTGAAGTTCAAGAGCTGGCCGAGCAAACGCCTAGGAATTGGACAGATTGAATTAGGTCGGCGCAGGCATCCCTCTTGAGCCCTTGGGTAGGTATCTGTAGACTGTGGCCGAATGACGAGGGGCTAGTGTACCTTACGTACGGTGACAGCCGCCGCGGGAGGCCACTGGACTGGAGCCACCTCGACTCCAACGAGTGGCCTGTGCTTCATGGTGGACTTCCTTGCCTTATTTGGGGTTAGCTGCGTATAGTTGCATAAGAGCTCTTTATCGAATTTTTCGTCTTATCGCCCTTTTGGCCCCCCACTACCCCGCCAAACCGGGCATCTTTGGAAGGGCTTAGGTCTTTTAGAAAGCGTCCCTGCCACGACCTCACAACCCACGAGCACTCCAAACATGGTCCGGCACAAGAAAGACAACTTCAGCTCCCGCGGTCGCAAGAACCGCCACTCGGGCCCTCCGCGCCCTCGACAGCCTCGGGCCGGCGACGATGATGAAGATGGCCATCCCTCCTCCCGTCCAACGTTTAAAGCCGCCTGCTGGGATCTCGGCCATTGCGATCCCAAACGATGCTCCGGAAAGAAGCTGATCCGCATGGGAATGATGCGCGACTTACATGTCGGCCAGAAACACAACGGCGTCATTATCACACCCAACGGCAAGCATACGGTCTCACCCGCAGATCGCGACCTCATGGAGCAGTACGGCGCTGCCGTTGTCGAGTGTAGTTGGGCGCGCATGCAAGAGATCCAGTGGGGCAAGGTTGGCGGAAAATGTGAGCGTCTGCTGCCGTATCTCGTTGCGGCTAACACCGTCAACTACGGCAAGCCGTGGCGGTTGAACTGCGTTGAGGCTCTCGCAGCGGCGTTCTACATCTGCGGTCATCCCGAGTGGGCGGAGCAGGTCCTTGCGCCGTTTTCGTATGGTGAAGCTTTCCTGGAGATCAATGGAAGCCTACTGAAGAAGTATGCTGCGAGCGAGGACGAGAAGGGTGTCAAGAAGGTGCAGGACGAGTGGATGAATCGGCTGGACAAGGAATATGCAGAGAGCAGGGAGGCGGGCGACGCCGATGACGTGTGGAAGGGCGGAAACACAAATCGCAGAGTGATACCCGATTCCGATGACGAAGAAGAAGACGACGACGACGACGACGACGACGACGATGGAGATGAAAGTGGAGACGAATCAGGAGACGGTGACAGCGTTGACGGCATTTACCTCGGAAAGAAGCCTGAGAAGACGCAAGAAAGCGAGGAAGAAGAAAGAGATCCATATGCGATATCCGACGATAGCGACGAAGACGCGGCAATGGAAGAGATCCGTCGCAAGGTGCTGGCGTCAAAGACTTTCGCTAACCCCTCAGCGTCGGAAAAGAAGAAGCCTGAATCGATTCCTCGGCCGCAAACGCTGAAACCCGACTCAGACATCGAACCAGACTCGGACAATGGCGAAGATGATGATGACTTTGACAATATCATCAATGCAACACCAGTCACTGACAAAATTGGCTTGACCAAGCTCGAAAAGGAGCGCTCCCAGTCGAAAGTGACCAGCAAGTCATTCTCGTCCAACATAGTTTCCGCGCCCAAGCGGTGGTAATGAGGACCAACAAAATTCACCTTGAAGCACTGAGAATTGGTTACGTGGTGATTGGTGCAAGACCATTAATGACTAGTTTTCTACAGTGAGATAGTGTTGAGCTTTGTGGATGACAGTGTGTGTGCCCTCTACCGTTTCGTTTCTATGCAGTTCCTTTTGTCTTGTACAAGTGTTGAGTTTTCCAATATCTTACAAGCTTCGCTTCTCTTTCACTTCGTCGTAGCACTGTATTTGATCTCCTATCTGGAAATCAGTGAAACCATCGAAGGAGATGCCACATTCGGAACCCTTCCTGATCTCGGACATGTCCTTCTTTCCATGCTTGAGCGTTTCAACCTTGCCTGTAAATAATATTAGTAAATGGTTTGCCTGGTTTTCTGCGGACAACATACCGTCAAAGATCTTCTCTCCCTTGCGGATGATGCGTACGCTGTTCGACCGCGTGATCATTCCATTTCTGACCCTGCATCCAGCAATATTCTTGAACACACGTCCCTTTACGTTGATGGGGAAGACTTGGAGAATATCAGCCTCTCCAGTCACCTTCTGGGTGATCTTGGGTGCCAAGCGTTCTGACATGACCTGCTTGACATCATCCGCTAGGTGATAGATAACTGAATGGTCAATCAGCTTGACCCCCTTCTCCTCAGCCATTGCCTTGATGTGGCCCGGAATAGTGCTGTTGAAATTGACAACAGTGCTGTTTGATGCCGCTGCATGCTCAATATCGGTTTCAGATACTTGGCCGGCCGCAGACCAAAGAATGCGAGCTTTGACTTCATTGTTTCCAATCTCGTTGATGGTCGCGCACACAGCTTCAACGGAGCCAACAACGTCGCCTCTAACCGCAAAGTTGATGACCTGGGTTGTCGAGCCTTCTGCATCTTCTTCACCTACCTCACCAGCCGCCTGTGCCTCTGCGGCGGCCTTTGCCTCACGTTCGCGTTGCTCTTGCTCTGCCAGCTGTTTCGATGATGCCTCTCTCTCACGCATTTCTTCACGGTAGCTGATGGCCGTTCTCGCTCGGTCTTCGGTAGGGGCCTGAAGAACCTCGTCTCCAGCAGCGGGCAGCTGCTCTCTCCAACCAAGAACCTCGACAGGTGTGCCTGGGGGTGCTTCACTCAGCTCCTGGCCCGCTTCGTTTCGCAGCATACGGATTCTGGCCCACGTAGTCCCCGCGACGATGTGGTCGCCTGGGCGCAGCGTACCACGCTTGACAAGAATGTTGGCAGACTTTCCGTGGGGTTTGACACTGGCTTCGAGAACCCAGGCCTCCGCCATGCCGTCTTGTTCGGCACGCATGTCCTGAATTTCCGCGAGCGCGCCAATGTTCTCCTCGAGCTCGTCCATGCCTTTGCCCGTCTTTCCGCTTACACATACTACTTGAACATCGCCACCAAAGTCTTCAATCTCAACACCATGACGAGAAAGGTCCGCCTTGACTTGGTCAGGACGGGCATCTTCCTTGTCAATCTTGTTGATAGCCACGATGATTGGCACCTTTGCTGCCCTGGCATGCTTTAAAGCTTCCAGGGTCTGCGGCTTGACACTATCGTCAGCAGCAACAACCAAGACCACGATATCAGTGACATTTGCACCACGTTGGCGCATGGTCAAGAACGCAGCATGACCGGGCGTATCAAGGAATGTGATGAGCTTGCCAGAGGACATCTTCACCATGAAAGCTCCGATGTGTTGGGTAATGCCGCCATGCTCCTGAGCTGCGACGGACGACTTTCTGAGGTAGTCGAGCAGCGTCGTCTTGCCGTGGTCAACGTGCCCCATAATGGTGACGACAGGGGGCCGCGGCGGCAGCGTCGACATATCCTCTGGTGGTGGACGAGGTCTCAGGTCTCTGTCTCCTCCAGTGTCGACTGTCGCCTCGAATCCGAATTCCATAGCCACAAGAGAAGCAGTCTCTCCCGTCATGATACTCTCCTCAGTGATGTCCTCGAAGCCCATTTCCGTCAAAGCTCTCAGGAAGTACTTGGGTTTCATCTTGAGCGCCGATCCCAGATTACCGATGCTGATGAATTCGGGCAAAAAGATGGTTTGTGATGCGGCGGCAGCCTCCGCCTCCGCCTTTCTCCGGGCCTTTTCCTCGGCCTTTTGCCGGCGGCGTTCAGCAATCTCCCTGGCGGTCGTCTCGTCCCATTCCTCGTTCTGATCCTCCCACCTTTTTTGTGCATACGACTTTTTCCCACGGGACGAGTTGAAAGCATCTCCACGACGTGCACCAGACTTATCACGCTTTCTAGCATCACGTTCGATCTCATAGGACTCATCGAGGCGATTCTCGCGATTTTCGGCCACGTCTACTGCAACATATTCCTCGACAACTCCGTCCGGCTCGGTTTCCAGAGAGCGCCGAGCGGGTGGCTTCGGCCTGCTCTTCATGTGTTCCTGAAACTTGGCGAAGAATGTGTCTTTGGTAATTGGGTTCGTGGCAGGCGAAGTTTTCTTCGGGGCCTCGTCATTCCATCCACTCGTAGGTGGCGGAGGAGTTGGCGAGGACTCCTCCACACTAGGAGGAGGGTTGACTCTCCTGGCAAGCAAACCCCATTCCGCAGGCTTGTCTGAAGCTTCGTCCTCGACCTTTGCCTGGCTTTGTTGTGGCCTTTCTGGCAATGGCCTACCGAGCCCCTTGCTGGCGGCATGGCGGTGATGCGGTACCGGTGTGCTGTGTGATTTTTTGTCGGCTCCAAATGAATTCCTGCCAAGTTCTTTGTGCCTCCAGTCGGCTAACTGAGAGCCATTTGCATCGCCGCGCTTCCTGTCTGGTTGGTCTATTGAACGATGCAGGGGTCCGGGTTTCCTTTCGCTGCCGAGGCCTAATCCCCGACCACCTAGTCCGCCTGAACCACCAAGGCCGGAGGGTGGCCTTTCCGAGAAGCCTTTGGACGGTACGCGAGCCTTGTTCAGACCCGTACCCAAACCGCTTCGGGTTCCCTCTCGAGGTGACGAGCTTTCCCCGAAGCTCGCTGCAGTCTTCAGAGGTTGAGGTGGCGGGGTCAGTGGTGGCGTCGGTTGCGACTTCTTTATTCTCAGTTTCGCAGCGCGTTCGTGGGGCAGTAGCCCGTCGTCGGCCGACTCGTTATTCGTCTGTTGGGCATCAGGGTTCGAAGTGGCCGAGCCATTCGTGTTGGCCGGCGGCGAACCGCCTCCGAATGATGGTTTCCCCCAACCGGAACTGACTGTCGGACCGGAAGGTCGCGGAATGCCACTACTGCTTCCCCAGCCTCCAGGAAATCCACCAGCATTCGGCGTTGGCTTCGGTGTGTCTGAATAGCTACGGCGACCTATGTCACGCTGTGTCGCCAGGGCGGGGTGACGACAGAAGGCGCAGACGTACGCACTGCTCCGATCCTATACGATTTGTGTTAGCCTCGAAAGAACGGCAATTTAGCAGGCTGACAATGGGTTGCGACGTACTTTCCATATCCTACACCTGAGCATGATCTACTCTGGGGCGCAACATGAAGGCTGCTAGTCTGATGGAATCAGCGAAAGCTGTGAGCTGCCAACCCGGAATATTTGTCGAGCTACAAAGTTGCAGAATTGAAGTGTTTTGATTGGTCGCCAGGATCCACCATGTACAAGCACTGGCCGGGTGTGCAGGGACGTGCCTACGCTCATCCCTATGCCCCTGAGAAAATGGACAGCTCTCAAGCACCCCCAAATACGTAGAACTCACGAGCTCGACTTGCCATATCAGTGTCGCGACTGTCATAATGGCGCCAAAGATTAAGGTCGTGAAGACCAAGTCAAAGCCTCCGGGCTCACTGGGTGCGCCGCCCGCGCCTTTTAAGAAACCGGCAGAGGTTCTAAAGCCTTTTTATGAGTCGCTTTCCCGCAAACACGTCTACATCACCCACATCGACACCAAACCCAAGGATTTCAAGAAGAAGATATTTCTTGTGCCCGTCGGCATGAACATCGTTGTCGCTGCGCTGTTCGTCTTGCGCATGTACTACATCCTCCCCTATTACTTCAAGTTCATCCAGTCTGCCGCCGGCTACCCCAATGAGACGACCTTCTCGCCTTCCGACTCAACTTGGGCCGCGCTTGCTTGGGAAATCGGCAAGCGCGGCTTCTCTTTCACTCTGGACCTCATGCTCTTCATCTTCGTCTGGCCGTGGCCAATCGAGTTCGTCTTTGGTCAGACGTATGGAAACCCAGTTCAATGGCGATGGAACGTTGGCTTCCGCGACAAGGAGATTTACGTCCGACGCAGCCGGGAGTGGGACCAACAACTGGGCGACATTTTCAAGGAAAAGGAGAAGAACCAAGCACTTCAATCAATCGTGCGGCAGGCCACCTCGCCCCTCCTCCTGCAGGAAAAGACGGGCTATCTTACCATGACGGGACAGTGGGATCTCGACTGGAACAGCATGGTCCTCGTTCACAACCTCGTCGACAAGAAGCAGGTCGCGTTGGACGCCTTCAAGAGTCTGGTGCTGGTGTGGCACGAAGACTACGACTGGATGGTTCTTGAGCAGGCGGGCGAAAATGTCAAGGAAGATGACAGGCGACGGCAGGTATTTGCGTTCAGGGATGCTCTCTCGGCCATTGGCAAGGAAGATCTCTTCTTCCGTTGGATCGAGATTGTGCAGTTTGAGTCATCGCAGCCTGGTGGGTTCGGGCCTGAGAAGCAGACCGAGGTGGCTAAAAAGATTCGAGACCTGTTCCAGGAGCAGGGCGTTGATTTCGACAAGTTGTGGCACGAAAGCGTTGGAACCGAAGGATTGGCTGGCATTTGAAAACATGGCCAACCGTGTATTTGTACCTACATTTGGCGCATGGCGGCAAATCATAAACCGGTAATGAGAGCACATGTGGTATTCAGCTGGCACGGAAAGTTCAAAAAGCATACGTGGAGCCTGTATCTTGTTAAATTGTGGCTCAAACACGAACATTCGACGCATGGTATGTTGCGAACGAGAAGGACGATGGTATACGAATGACAGTGCCCTGAACTTTAGGCAGAGTTCATTTGCTGGACTTCTTGCCCTTCTTAGCGGCCGGGCCCAGAGCAGCCTCTCTCTTCTTGGCCTCCTTCTTCTCAATCTCGGCCCTCTTAGCAGCCTCCTGAGCCTCGCGCTCCTCCTTCTCGGCCTGTAACAACCTGTAGTTAGACAACTGCAATACGAAATGGCCGGTTCAAGGGCCAAACATACCTCTCTACGGGCAGCGTCTGCCGCTCTCTGCTCGCGAATGAGCCTCAGTCTCGCCATGTCAGCCTTGGCCTCATCCGTCTTGCCGGCCTCATGGAGCTTGCGGTATCTCTCCTTGGCCAGGGCAGCCTCCATGCTCTCGCGCTCCTTGCGGTTGTTTGCCACAGCGAGTTTCTTGACGCCCTCAGTAGCCTCCTCGACCTCCTTGGGGGGCGCCTTGGTCTGGTTGCGGGCGGCCTTGGAGTGATTCGGGTTGGCGGGCATGTCGTCGTCGCTCTCCTCCTCGGAGTCGGAAGGGGGCAAGTCGCCGACCTCGACGGCTTGGCCCTTCTTCTTGGCTATGGCAGCCTCCTTGCGGGCCTTGGCTGCGGCCTTGCGGTCGGCGCGAGACTGTTCGGCCTGGGGCTTGGCATCATCAGAGTCGGACTCCTCCTCGGATTCCTCCTCAGAGTCATCCTCGTCACTTCCGCTGTCGTCCTTCTTCGTATCGGCGCTCCACATGCTGATTTCGTTGCCATCAGCGTCGAGGGGGCGCAGGTCGCGGGAGAAGTGCTTGCCACCTGAATGACAAGACGGTTAGCGTGTGGATGAGGGCGCGGCGGGAACGACGTTTTGTCACAAACCTCCTCGAGTGAACTTCCTGAACTTGCCGCCACGGCCACGAGAGCTGGAACCTGGTTGTCCGCCGGCCATCTTGACTGATTTTGGGTGGCTGTTGTGGTGTTGGGGAAGTTGCAGATGGGTTTGGCGGGGTTGACGTGCGATGTTTGTCTGAGACGGCTGGCGCAAGATTTGGCGGGGTAATTTATGTGCAGAGCGGTGGCAGACTTTAGGGTGTGCAAGTAAGTCAATGGAGATGGGTGCAGCAAGGTTCTTCACCGAGATGGGCAACTTCAATGGGCGAGTGAAGACTTGGGATTCGGAGTCGGAGAACGGATTGAATTTATAGGCTCTTCCTGCGTACACTAGCTAATTGTCTTGTAGAGGGAGTCACAGGCTAAGGCACGGCACATGGCCGGAGAGGGAATCATCATCAGGTTGCAGTAGTATCTTCTTACAGACCATTGACAGCCAGCGGACGGATACGATGCTGGGCTGCAAAATGATTCCCTGAGCTGCACATAATTAGCGGGGCACGCAAACATAAACACCTTCGTCTTTATTGGCTGCCCATAGTGTTTTGGGGCTTGTCAAGGGAGCCTCAGTGTCCTGGCCACGATTTTCACCGCCAGGATATTTGCCCCGCGCTTGGAGGGGGGAACGGCTCCAACAAGGCATTACCTGCGCTTGTGGATATAGCAAGAGAATCTAGCATACGAGCCGCACGCGACCGCTACCTTGCGTGCTTGCATGAGGTATCTCAAAATGAGGCAAGAGTTGCAACGGATCTAACCCAAGCAGAGAGTTGCAGAGAACAACACTGAATGAGGCCAATGTTGGTGGGTCGGTTGCTAGCTTGTATCAAGCTAGGTAATCCTTAATCATGGATTGGACCGCATGGGTGGCTTTGACGGGGACAGAGAGAGGCCAAATTCAAGTGATATAGTATGCGTATTGATGACTCGGTAGTGGGTGGAAAATCATGTGGCTTTAGCGGAGATAGCTGCAAGCCATAACAGAAGCCACCATTGTCAGTGAGACCGCTTATTCTCCCTGTGCTAGAGCTCGATATTGTCACCCATTATTATTATTGTCATCTTCCTTGTTGTATTTATTGTCATCCCTGCTACTATCGTCCTGCACAGGAAAGATAGCCGCCCAGATGCAGGGAAAGGCGGTTGCTTTTCAATGTGTCCTGACTTGATGGAGTAAGGTAGTGGAACAGGTACCGACCCGACGGGCATGGCTCATTCCCGTCCACGTCGTGGCACGGCTCCGGCAAAACAGCAGGGCCGGGCCCACAGTAAAAAAACCAATATCATGGCTCAGAATTCGCGCTGTCTTTCAACATTTCTCCTCTTTTCTCTTCACCTAATCATAAAACAATCCTCCTTATTCACTCTGGCTTTCACGTTATCAATGAATGCGCTTGGAGGGGAAATAGGAGGAGAGATGGATGAACTTTCGCCCACTTACCCTCTGACCCGTGGCAGCTTCTGCTGTGTTGGTGATTGGAGAAATTTTCGTGGCGATACATGCTCTCTGCGCCGCCTCTGGCTGAATGCCGCGTGTTTACCACCGCCCTCTTCCTAGTAATCTACTCCTACAAAGCCTTGCGTGACGCCTACACTGGCGCCCCGGTTGTCGACGATGCTGTCAAAATTTGCACGCCGTTGCGTCAACCCGCTGTTCCTCCAGGTGACTGGGCCAAGGTGCAGAATTTTTGCCGCACAGTGCAAGCGCACAGTGCCTTTCGGGATCTAGAGATGTCCGACTCGCAACTGTCATCTCATCTCAAACGTGGGATCTCTGGCGCTCGTATGAACGAAGTCCACTACGTGACTATACTATGTACTTGCTCGAACCCGCATCCTCGCAAGCAGACCAGCACGATGTTTGACCAAACAACGGGACAGGTCTTCAAGGAAGTGACGGCTCCGCGCCCTCCGGACGCCTACCAAAATGGTCGTGACTGGTCCAGGCGAACTGGTCGTCCACCTCGCAAGGGACGCAGCGGACAGGGCAGAAAGGGTCCCAGGGCGTTGGCCGATATGGCTATGCATTTGGTCGCAGAAAACATTGGCGACGTGACGGAGCAGCATCTTGCCCGCGATGATCTGCCAAAGAGGTACCTGTGGAGGATATGGCGCCTGCTGGAAAACAGGTTCGTTCTGCCTCTGCGCATGCGGCAGTGATACCTAACTATATCTAACACTGATCTTCAGGGGCGTATGCTTCCAGGCATGGAAGATTTTCTCCAAGTCCCTTCTGGCCGAAGACGATGAAAAGACGTTGGCTCTCTATCGCTACCGCCAGCACATTTGTCAACCAACTGAGAACCTGCGTCACTACCTCAGACCGCTCGAGTCTACCGCGTTTGACTTCGTCTCCCATCTGGTCATTGCGGGCAACTGCTCCTTTGCCGAAAATGAGGTGTTACTTCTCGCGAATATGAAAAACCTTGGCATTCTCGAGATCATTCAGCCAGCCGATGAACTTCGCATGGTGTTCCCAAACGTCGACGACCGGCTCATCAGGGGCTGGACTGAGATGAATGACCCCTTTCCACTCCTGAGGATCTTGAGGCTCTGGAGTGATGAGTCGACGACTACGCAGTCGCTCAAATACGTGTCCAAATTTCCATCGCTCGTCCTCTACGACGTCAATGCCGCGAGGAGTGACTGGGCCGGAGCCGCTGAAGCTGCCGTTGAAGAAGGCTGGCAAATGGAAGAGCCTGAGCATGGCCCGAATGATACCCTCCTGTGGTATCTGTTGCTTTTCGACTCCGTTGAGGAGAGCAAACCACGACAGCTGCAAGGCCTAGCTCGCAACATAAACGAAGGGCTAATGAACTTTTGTCTATCCAGCAGCCAGCCCATCAAATTGATTCATGCGCAAGAGGCTCCGGCGTTTCTCGACCACTTGGGAGACTCTGCGAAGAGCAACCTGTCCATGTACGTCGACGTGCCAGGCTATGAAGCACAAACTTGTAAGGGATTTCCATTCGAAACCTGGGCTTTTTGGTTGTATTCCTTTATTGGCCAGTTGATCAAGGACAGCGACTTGAAGCGAGTTGGCCTGTCGTCGGACATGAGCGTCGTTTCTGAGAAGCTGGTTCTCCCCTCCAAACCCCTGGCTTGCTTACAATTGGGCCACCTTGGCGGCAGGCCAGGTATTACACCCGCTGTGTCATACGTGCGAAGAGGATTATTCTCCACGAGGAGATACACGTTCTTCAGGAATTCGGCGTCTAGCAAGAACCAGGATTCTGTGCAGAATGCGACAGAACTCATGAAGCCCTCGGTACAACTTGGTAACGTCGAGACAGGGTTGAACCCGAACCGCAAGAAAAGAAGGCGTCTGGACGACATTTTACAGTCCTTTTTAGGTTCTTGAGAGGAGTGGCAAACATGGCATCTTGGTGCTGTGAGGAGCATCCAAAACATTGTACGGGCCAAGGCCTACCTTATATAATACCGTGGCGTTATCGGTCGCTGGCCTGAAACAGTTAAGAAATCACAGCAGACGTGTGTCTCGAGAAATAATTTCATTCATAAAATTCATGGCTTCATTTTGATCCCCAAAGTTGACGCCGCATTCTAGATGATGACAATAATGAACCCTCCCCAGCAGGTATATCCATCCTTGCGCTTAGTATCCAAAATCTTCTGTACAGGCCCTTACAACATGGGCTTCAGATCCTCAGCGACGGTAAATGGCGCCTCGGTCTTGCTCTTAATTTCCTCCACCGTCACACCGTCCGCGATCTCAATCAGGGTCAGGCCGTGAGCGAAGTCGACGTCGAAGACACCCTGTCACCCGCGTGTTAGCTACGTTGCAAAATCTTGAACAGCGCATTGTCGACTTACCAGTTCAGTGATGATTCTTGACACGCAAGCACGGCCGGTCAGAGGGAAAGCGCACTGCTTAACAATCTTGGGGTTGCCCTTCTTGTCCGTGTGCTCCATGGTGACAACGACCTTGGTGGCGCTGGGGTTGCTGACAAGATCCATGGCACCGCCGAAACCCTTGACCTTACCAGGCAACATCCAGTTCGCAAGGTCACCGGTGGAGCTGACCTGCATGGCACCCAGGATAGTAAGGTTGATGCGGCCACTGCGGATCATGCCGAAGCTCTCCTCGCTGCCAAAGACGGCGGCACCGGGCTTGAGCGTGACCGTCTCCTTGCCCGCGTTGATGAGGTCGGCATCTTCCTCGCCCTTCTTGGGGTAGGGTCCCAGACCCAAAATGCCGTTCTCGGACTGGAGCTGGACCTCAACCTCGGGGCCAACGAAGCCCGGGGCGAGCATCGGCATGCCGATGCCGAGGTTGGCGTACATGCCGTTCTTGAACTCCTTGGCGGCACGTCTGACAATGAGCTCACGCTTGGCGGCAGTGTCGCCGCTGCCGAGCGCCTTCTTGGCATCGGGGTCGTTCTCATCCTTGGCGAAGGTGTACTTCTCAATGTTCTTCTCGGTGGTGCTCTGGATGACTCGCTTGACATAGATACCGGGCAGGTGGACGGCCTCAGGGGAGATCTCACCAGGCTCAACAATGTGCTCAGCCTCGACAATGGTCATCTTGGCGTTGCGGCCCATGGCGCCGTTAAAGTTGTTGGCGGCGAGACGGAATTGGCAGTTTCCGAGCTTGTCAGCCTTGTAGGCCTTGACAAAAGCGTAGTCACCGGCAATGCTCTCCTCGAGGAGGTAGGACTTTCCGTTGAAGACCTTGACGTCCTTGGGGTAGGAAAATTGGTCGGGGGAGCCATCGGCCTTGTTCCTGAGAGGGAGTTCACCGGTCTGAACGACAGTGCCGAAGGCGGCGGGGGTGTAGAAGGCGGGAATGCCCTTGCCGCCAGCAGCGCAGCGCTCGGCGAGGGTGCCCTGAGGGGTGAGCTCGAGCTCGACCTCACCGGTAAGGTACATCTTCTCAAAGGTCTTGTTCTCGCCAATGTAGCTGGCAACCATCTTCTTGATCTGTTTGGTCTTGAGCAGCTGGCCAAGGCCGGAAGTGTCGGTGCCGGCATTGTTTGAGACTGCAGTAAGGCCGGTGATCTCGGGCTTCTTGAGAACCTCGTTGATCAAGGTATCGGGAACACCACAGAGGCCGAAACCGCCGCACAGAAGCGTGGAGTTTGACTTCATGTCCTTGAGAGCCTCGGTGGCCGAGGGGTAGACTTTGTTGATCTCTGCCCTACGTGCCGTCGCAGAGAATGCGCGGGCGAGGACGGCAGTCGGCTGTTCATGGCAGGAGAGTCAGTCTGAGCCGGGGCTCATTGCAAGGCCTCCAACGGATCCAGGTCTACGTACGTTGGAGCCATGGCGGGCATAGGCTCTCAATGAGCGCGCATACAGAGCTGCTGAAGGCATCGTGATTGTGCTTTGGCCACGAGTGGGACTACGGGGAACAGGACGAGGGGCAGCGTTGGAGACGGATAGGCCGTGGATGTTTTACCTCAATGTAAGAGGGTAGCGGAGAAGCATCAACAGAACCAGCGGAGAGGCCAGAGAGGAATTGGAGTGAAGGAGGGGACAATTTCTCTTCAAGAGAAGCTGCGCGAGGGGTCCCGGATCAATTTATTGCAGCTACGTGCTCCTAGCATCCAAGGCCGTGGGTTGCCGTCGCTGCGGAAATCGCAGTGTCTAGTGTCGGGGGGTGTATGCTGCTCCGCCCCTTCGGGATTGGGCTCGGCAAGAGGATGCGGACGATGGATTGACTGGTGGGCTTGGACCTGGAAGCTGGTCGCACAGCTCTCGGCATCCCTACCTCGGGGTGTCTTTCAGCGGTTAACCCCCCTCAGGTTCCGCGACTCGGAAAGTGGCGGGGCTAAACGTTTTGGCGCCTGGGCCTGGGGTTGCTGCAGTGGTGCATCGTCGTCGTTGACGCCAATGGAACTGGGGAAAGGGCCCCTGACACCTGAAGGAACTTCCCCCGCAAAGGCAATTGTATGTGCCTCAGTGCGGCGGCCCGCAACCTCGATCCCGACCTCTGAAAAACGGACAGAGTGATGGCAGACGTCCATACCCACTAATGGCACTGTATGTGCATGCTGCCATCCGCCCGTTTGTACAGTACCTAAGCAACGAGTAGCGTTTCAATTCATACGGTACGGTCCGGTTCGGCTGGCGGCGCCGTTTGCCGAAGACTCTGCCGAAGACCTGACTGAGCAGTATGCGAGTCCGCTCCGGTTACTTCCTTTGCAACTATTATGCTTTTTGTGATCAATAAACATGCGCTTGGTTGTTGGTTATGTCAATGCGATACCGGCGATCGACCCCAGACACATGCATTTAGGAGACGGGAAGCTTGGTCGTCCCTTGCGTGCGTCAATCCAGGCACAAACGTCCCTCTGTGCCTTGGATACCTTACATAAACTTAGGTTGTTTCCGGTGCGTATTCCGGGTCCGGTACTCGAGCTACTGCCGTAGTACCTTATCTGGTTGCCATCCGATGTTTCTGGGTTTTTTTTTCCGAAGCATTCCGCTGGGGCATTCGAACAAAACTCAGTTGCCTTGACAGAACACATGCAAATCGTTCAGATTTGTAGACGTTGCTAGGCACACCCGGCCAGTCTTACGCATAAGTTCGGGCTCGCAGTGTACTCAACTGCCAAAAGAAAACGGCATCGCGTCAAGCCTTTTGTGTTCTTTGTAGATGAGGCCGATTTGGCTGCAGGTCACAGTCTGGGGCAACTACCCGTAAAAGACACCAGTGGGGCTGCTGCAGTAGGTCTAGGTGTCTTATCGGGCGATCGGTCAGGGATAAATTTTCTCCCACCTCTTATCGGAGCCCCACGCTTCAAAAAATTTCCAGCATCGCGGTCGTGCATGCGCAAGCAGGCTGAGGTTGTCGTGCTCCTGTGAGTCTGCAAGCCTACCTATGCGCTTGTCAGCCTCCAATTCAGCAGCCCCTTGCACAGAACATTGCTGGGTCTCCCACACAGTTGTTCAAGATGGAGCAGAGCCCCAAAAGACGCAAGGTTTCCCACCAGGGCAACACGAGGAGTACAGTCAACATTGCGACGGCGAGCCCGTTTGTCCTGCAGACCGACGAACTTTTGAAGGAGGTAAAGGTCGACTACACGAAGGCGCTGAGCGGCGCGGATAGCCTGCTCCATAAAATCAAGAACCTCATCGATGAAATTGAGTCTCACGGCCCCATCTCCGTTAGTTTATCTCCCATCTTCCTGTTGCGACTTAACATGTTGATGTTTCTTAGATCGCCGAAGCCACCCGTAAGTTTCAAAAGACCCATCGAATCAAGATTCCCTACCCCGAGCCGAAACCGAGCGATGATGCGCCTTACAACCTTTCGTACGAGAAGCCCTCGGCCTACAACGTCGTCGGTAGCTATGTCTCGAGAACCATGGTCAAGGCGCAGGCAAACAAGGGCGTGGACATGATCGTGCAGATGCCAGCGTCGCTTTTCCAAGAAAGAGATTACCAGAGCATGCGCTACTTCTACAGGAGAGCATACTACATTGCCAACATTGCGGCAAGTCTGCGCAAGGAGCTGGGAGACTCCGCTGATCTGGAATTCGAGTACTTGAACGGAAACACGCTACTGCCAGTCCTGACCATTCGACCGAACGACGGCACGACTAGCGAGGAAGACAAGGCGTCAAAGGCAGACTTCGTCATCCGAATCATCCCTTGTGCCCCTGGAGGTATCTTTCCTAAGACAAAGTTACATCCCGCAGCCAACAGCAACCGTATTGGACAACCCGAGAACTCCAAAGAGGCGACACCTTTTTACAGCTCTACTGTCAAGGCCGAGGATACCTTCGTCACCTATCTTCGCGTTCTCACGCGTGCCAAGACCGATTGCGCAGCTTTTACGGATGCTTGCATACTTGGGAGGATTTGGCTTCAACAGAGAGGCTTGGGGAGCTCGCTTGCTGCCGGCGGCTTTGGTCATTTTGAGTGGGCGGTCATGATGGCACTTCTTCTCCAAACAGGCGGTCGCAACGGCCAACCCGCTCTATCTTCGGCGTTGAGCAGCACCGAGCTTTTCAAGGCCACGGTGCAGTTTCTCGCCTCCACCGAGTTCTCAAAGAAGCCTTTTGTTTTCGGTACTTACAAGCAGGGGACCGACATTATTCGCGAGAATGGCCCTGTCATGTTCGATCCGGAGCGTGAGGTAAACATTCTGTATAAGATGAGTCCTTGGTCAGCGAGCCTGCTTCATTTCCACGCCTGCACGACCATGGATGTGCTCAATGACCCCCTAGCCAACCAATTCGAGCCGACATTTATCACCAAAGCCGACGTGCCATTGCAGCTTTTCGACGCCATCTTCGAGATTCGCAACGTTGACAGCCATTCGAAGAGCAATAGCCCCGATCGACGTGGAGCTGTTTGGGATCTTAGTTTCAAGGCGTACACGGTTCTCAAGAAGGCCCTGAAGGACAGATCGCAGTTAATTCACTTCCAGACAAAGGATACTGCATCGTGGCCCATCGCAGGCAAAGAGCCCCGCAACGTTGCTAACATCCAGGTTGGCGTCATTTTTGATTCGGCTAACATGGGCCGGTTGATGGAGTACGGTCCCTCCGCTGAGCTCGAAAAGGAGGCGGCCAAGTTCCGGAAGTTCTGGGGCGACAAGGCCGAGCTGCGACGTTTCCAGGATGGCAGCATTCTTGAGTGCGTACCGTGGAACAACAAGACCGCGGCCGGCATCTGCGAGGAAATCGTTCGATACGCTCTTCAACGCCATTTGAGCCTCGGTCCTGGTGACCTTCGATTCCATGATGCCGAACCCCCCTCATCTCTAGGCTTCACCCCTCTCGATAGGGATGCCTTCGAGGCGGCGAGGAAGGCCTTCCGAGCCCTGGAGTCAGACATTCGCGGCTTGGAAGACCTACCCCTCTCCATTAGGCAGTTGTCGCCTATTGTACCAGAACTTCGATCTTCCTCTGTCACCGCGCCCATTGCCGCCTCCCAAAAGACCCCTCCATCAATGGATGTCAACTTGTATTTTGAGGTTTCGAGCAAGTGGCCGGAGAACTTGGTCGCAATCCAGGAAACCAAGATCGAGTTTCTGCTTGACATCGACCGAAGATTGAAGGCTGTCAATGACAACATCACAACTAGCCTGGGCCGCGACAACGCAGCTCGTGAGATCGACAACCTGGCGTATCTCGACATCATTTACGACACCGGTGCTGCGTTCCGATTGCGCATCTTTGCCGAGCCGGAGGAGACACTCCTTGACAGGCAAGCCAAGAACAAGACGCTCGACCCGCAGACGAGAGCGGACGCCGAGGAAGCCCTCTTTGACATCAACTGGCGGTATAAGCACCTCCCGCTGCACACGCAGACGATCACAACTTACTGCACCCGCTTCACCACGCTGTCAACAACAATTCGTCTAGTCAAGCATTGGTTCAACGCCCACAAGCTTGCCAGCCACGTCAGTGAAGAGCTCATTGAGCTCCTTGTCTTGCGCGTGTTCCTCCAGCCACACCCCTGGAAGACCCCGTCTAGCGCTATGTCAGGCTTCCTACGCACTATCCTCTTCCTCTCGAGATGGGACTGGCGCGATGAGCCCCTCATTGTTGACTCCTCAGACGACATGTCCGCAGAAGATAGATCCGTCGTCCAAAAACACCTGGAGGCTTGGCGTGCTCGCGATCCCAATATGAACCACGCTGTCCTTTTCGTCGCCACCCCGCACGACCATTCAGGGCTGGCTTACACCCGCCACGGGCCCTCCAAACTCCTCGCAACCCGCATGACTCGTCTCGCCAAGGCCGCCAGCAAGCTCATCAGAGAGCAAGGCATCGCCCTCGACATCGCTCAACTCTTCCAGCCCTCGCTCAGCGACTATGACGTGCTTATCCATCTATCGACCTCAGCCTTGAAGCGCGTGGTCCGCGATGCCGCCGCCGAGGCCGGCATTCGCCACTCTCTCTTCAAGAATCTGGACGCGCGTACGGGCAAGGTGCCCCTGCCCTTGAGTAGGTCACCGGCGGCGGTCCTGCTCAACGAGCTGCAGATGGCGTACGAGGATACTCTCATCTTCTTCCACGGCGCTCCCGAAGACTCGGTCATTGGTGCCATCTGGCAACCCAAGCTGAGGAGACAAAACTTCCGCGTAGGTCTGCCGTACAACTTCCGTCAAGTGGATAGTGAAGAAGACGACGTGGTTGAAGTCAACAAACCCGCTGTCTTGCTCGAAATTGCAAGGATCGGGGGCGACTTGGTAAAAAGAATTGAGGATATGTCATAGGTACAGGGAAATACATTTGTACATGTTTGATATGTTGGCGTAGCGAGCCGGGAAATGGTAGATAAAAGTCAGCGATCGAAGGATCACACCAAGTATTAAAATGCTCAGTCAATTGTTTCCGAGCCGATGCCTATTAAAAGAAAATGTCTTTGGTCATGCTGATTATAGTCGTATTCAACCTGATTTCCCTTGATCAAACGCCATGCCATGATATAAAATGCCTATGCACACCAAGACGCTCGTATGCACATAAACATCCCCACCCCTTCGGGAGTCCAATAAAACCCGCACAACCCCCGAGTTCATTCAAGTCATCTACTGCAGGAGCTTCTGGTCCCGGCTGCTGTCTGCGACCTGCTGGGTAGAGAAGGCGCAGAACTTGTCCTTAATGGCGACCACCTCGTACGTTCCTTCTTGGCTTGCACGGATGATCTTGCTGCTCTCGTACGAAACGTCGTGTCGGGTCTCAAGCACCACGCTCTTCTGGCCCTTCTTGGCGTTGGAGCTTCGAGTGTACGTAAACTCGTACGGCGGCGTGCCCCAGAACTCGAAAAGGATCTCGACCTCGTTGCCTTCATGGATATCCACGCGAGTCTGTCTGCCCCTGCTGATTTTGACGGCGGGGAGTGGGTGAATCTTCTTAGTAATATCAACAGAGGCACGACACTCTGATGCCTTGTCAGAGATGGAGGTGATGGTGAAGTCGCCAGGAGATTCGGCGATACGGCGGAAGTTGGTTGTGCCCGATTTGGCCTTGCGTTGGTGCCCCTGGAAATCATACCAGATCTCGAAGGGAGGCGTGCCGGAGAGCGTGTAAGCGATACGTTCGCCGACGCAGTAGTCCTCTCGGCTCTCCAGGGGATAGATTGCGGGCGCGTCATAAAGGTGGACTTGCACGGTCGGCGCTCCGATCTCATACTTTTTCTGGCAGCCACGAGCATCTCTAACCTCGCGAATGCGGACATGTTGGATTCCGAGGCGCAAGTGCTGTCTGGGTATGTGAATGCCGTAAGAGTTAGACTGGATGGACGGGATTCTGTACGTCTCAGGGACAGTGCCGCTGTGATGCTTAATCTCAATTTCCACGTAAAAAGGAGCGACACCATTTAGCGTAATGGGGATGGTGTCCTCGCTCTCTTGCTCCGTATTGCAATACTTGAACGACTGGCCAGGCTTCACGAAGGAGGCGGACGGCTTGGCGTTAACCCGCTGGTTGAGGGTGAGAGGGCTGAAGTTTCTGTCGCTGTTATAGAGATTATCTGCTAACGCGGAGAACTTGTACGCATATTCTCCAGGCTTCGAGGTATCCATGCCAATGGATGCCTTATTGAGAGCGGTATCGAATTCCTTCCGGATGCTGGATCCAGAATTCTTACCAGAACCAGTTCCCGGGAAGGGCTTGTGGAAAAGATCGTATTCGACACGGAAAGGGGCCGAACCTATCAAATTATCAGTCCGGAGCTCTGTGGAATGAGATGAACATCTTACCCTTGAGGCTGACCTCGAACGAATCGATATCACCTTCACACACATCACGCTTCACAAATGCAGCTGCATCCGAAGTTATGGTATCAGTCTGGACTAGCTTGATCTCAGGGCGAGGATACCAGTCAACCTTGAACTGGGATGCCTGGGGGTCGACAATGCCAGGACAGCTGTCGGCGACATCAATGATTTCGTAGGTGCCGCGGGACTTGACAGTAAGGATCTCATTGGCGTTCCTAGCCGTCTTCTTGAGAATAACATCACCGGCTTCAACGTTGCGGTACGATACAGTCCAAGGGCCGTCGCCCTGAAGACGAAGTGGCAGATCAACCTTGGTGTTCTCGACCGCCATAATGTTTCGCTTGTTTTCAACCAGGCCGAATGCTGCTCTGGGCCGTTGCCGTCGGACAGAGACCTTAAGCTCGTCCTTGAGGAACGTCCGGCAGCCAGATTTATCCTGGACGCTATTGAGAGCAAGAGTGTATTCGCCACCCTTGGCTAGGGGTTTGGTCTTGATTCTGTAGTTGTTGTCCTGGATATCGGTGACGCGCTCGGATTTGCGCTTGCCATCGTGAACAACTTCCCACTCCAAAGAGAAGGGAGCGTCTCCCAGGAGCAAGATATCGACCTCGACCTGCTCCTCAAGACAGGCGCTGATAGCTCCCGTAGAATGTTGAATGATTGCGGAAGCGGCAGGCTTCACATCCGTCTCCAGCACCATGTTGGGTCCGCTCAAGGGTTGCCCTTTGTAGATGGCATCGTCAATCTGCTTGAAGATGTACTTGTGATGGCCTGCAGCCGTCGGCCTCAGCTCGATTTGCTGTCTGAGTCCGCTGACATCGACACGCTCCCTTCTGACGTTGCCATTCTGATCAACAACGTCGTACCGGACTTGGAAGGGCGGGGTCCCGATAAGATCCAAGTCCACACGAAGTCCAACGGAGTTGCCGGCGCATTTGTCGGGGATCTCCTCCGCTCGCAAGGATAGCTGGGGCTCGAGAGGGTTGAGCAACAGACATGAGGAGGGCTCTTGGATCTCCCCCTCGCACGATCCGCTAACCACTGACTTGAGCGTGTAGAGACCAGGCTCCAAGACTGATGGCTTGTCATGGGAATTCTTGGCGGCGTAGGAACCGATGGAAACCTTGCTTCCATGATCTCCGCTGTTCGTCAGAGAATCGACTGGCGAAAACTCCCAGGTCAAAGTGTGGGAAGTGTCCGGGGACGACTTTTCCGGTAACGAGAAGTTGATTGGCAGCTTGGCCCGATGGTCCTTTGCAACTTTGATGGGATTCCGCAAGTCGCATCCTCGCAGACTAGCCTTGGGGCGCTGCTTGACCAAGAAGTTGCGCACGAGGTGCTTAGGCCGGGGACGCACGTCAGCCTCCTCGGGATTCTGAACATATTTCTGGACATTGCCAAAACCATCCTGAACCTCATCCACGGCATACTGCCAATCTCCTGCGGAATCCAGAGTTTCGTTGAGTCGCACAGCCACGGATTGAGGCTTCACCCAAGAAGTATCATCGTCGTTCCCGCGGGTCAGCTGTGAAGAGGGCGAACCGAGTAAGGGCGACATGTAGTCGTCCGGCTGCAGGCTCTGAAAGTGAAAGCTGCGGTCGTTACCGTTGATCCTGCGACTGTACTGAATCTTCAACGGCGGTGTTCCGGTGACGTCAATGAAAAGATCCGACAAGTCCCTGATACATCGGCCTGCATCGTCGGGAGTGCGGAATGCAGCTTTCGGGCAGGGGACAACGTAGGTATCCTTCGTAGCGCGCTGAACCTCAAGCTTGTACTCGTCCAGTACCTTGCCAAGACGGTAGACACCCGTTTTCTTAACCGAGTACTCAATGGCAACAGCGACAGGGTTGGAATCCACCGTCTGATCCTTGATCTGCTTCGCAATCTTCTTGATCTCCCGGCTAGACAACCTTATCGTTTCCTCCTGATTGGTGTCAAGGTCGATGCGAATGAGCTCCATTTCGGCGGGAATGGTCGAATTAAATTGGATGGGCAGCTTGACGGTGTCGCGATCCTCACCGACGCAGAAAGGAATTTGCTCAAAGTTGAGTACGGCTGACCCTTCTGGGAGGATATTGATGATCTGCCTTCCCATGATCAACGAATGGTTGTGCAAGATGCTCGAGACCTTGACGGTGTGTTCGGATACGGCCACTTCCCGATCGTAGAAAACCTTCATGAAGCCAACGAGCCATGGCTGCAGTGGAATCTGCACCTCAAGTTAGTTAACCAAGTTTTTTCTTTGCTCAAGGCCCAAGGCGGGGGCTTGGCATCGGCAGACGCACGGGAACGTTGAACATCAACATGAAGTTGAAGAAGGCATGGAAGAGGAAAATAGCCATGACAACAGGTTGCGAAAGCTCCAGCCATGGTATCCTCATTTCAGGCAGGCCGAAGAGAAATCCGAAGTCGATGAAGACCCATTTCAAAAACAGCCAGGCCGAAGTGTCGTTATCCTCGACCAGCTTGATCCAGTCGTAGAACCTCCATGCCAATAGGCCAATGTATATCGCACAAGCGTAGGTGCGTTGTTGTGGTGCATCGAGGATTGTCAGGGGAATGACGGGTTCCGATGGAGGGGCGCCTCTCGAGGCATTCTCGGGAGCCAAGGGGAGGGATGACGATGTCCGCGTGGACTTTTGCGAGGATATCGATGAGTTTGGATCGGGATCTTGACGTCGGGATCTGCCTAGGGCCGCGGTCGCCGGTGTTTGTGGGAAACCACCAGTCCGCTGTCTCGGTGTTGCGCTCATCGCATGCCGCAATTAGGAACGCTTCATACGATCGTTGGATGTGGCCGAACTTGCCGGAGAATAAAGGAAGCCTTGCAACTAGATCAGGAAGGTCGAAGGAGTATGGAAAGGGCTTGCCCGGCGATGCAAGTTGCTCTTGGCGTCGTGAAGCTGGAGAATCTGGTTGCTGAACGCAGAGCGTCAAAATTTCCTGTGAATGCTCGTCACGTCCAAACGCGCCCAGCAACAACACCCACTTGCGATGACGCGGGATGTTCTGATTGGCTTACAGTGCGTCTTAAGGGCCAAATAGCGGATACTAACAGGGCGACAGCTGTTTACAGGTTTTTGGCTGTGTGTTTGCCTGTGCGAGCACCCGTAGGTACCTGTGGACGGGGAAACAGACAGTGGAGTGTGCCAACCAGCTTTATTCAGCCCCCAAAAAGCTGGGGGGTCAGCTGCGTTATGGAAAGCGCTGGGTTGACGTCGTCCCTTCCCATTCAATCCCCGCCATCATGCTTCGGAGCTTCTCTTGACAGACCGCCCATGCTAGATTGAACACAGCACGAATTCTAACCCCGTTTTATTGTTGTAAGCGAATAAAAGTGTTTAGAATCGTTGGCACGCGACCTCAGCAAGGACTGGGATAGTGTTGGTTCTGTGTGTTCTAAGGCTGATACCTCAGCTGATAAGCGCCAGGTATGTACGTCTTTATGAACCTCGCTTTTTCTCTCCATGCCTAGTCGATTCCTATGACGTTTCCTCTGGTCGAACGCATGGTTTTCTCTTTCTTAACCGATTTCCAGATTTCCTTATTAGTTGATATGGTCGTATGAAACGGTCACAGTCAGCCTTCTCTGCGTTCTGTTTCGTCCTCAACTCAACCACTTTATCAGTCGCTTTCTTCACTTCGCGTCTCTGTCGGCCACCTTCGTTAAAGACAAGCTCGTACAAACTCTTTCACCCAACGCATGTTTTCATGCATAGATGAAGTTCCTTGTTTCATGAACGAGAAAGGCTTTGATTCCTTTTTGACGTCATCATTCGCGTTGTCGAGGGGTTTTACACCTTCCCTTTTTGCCTGCCACATCGATATCGACCCGGCGCCATATGGCCGTCTTGCCACAATTGCTTCTGGGCTGGCCACATTTCCATTCATAGGATCCTCTTTTCATTCTCCTGCATCCTCAGCTCTCTATTAACTACATCTCGATACCTCGACCGGTCGTCACAATGTTAGGAACGGGTCGTCCCAACAGGGGCCGGATACACCTGCGAAGCCGCAAGGCGGAACCAGTCGCAGTTGAGAACGGGCAAAAGCTTTCCCGGTCAAACTCTGACGATGATGTTTCTCCGGCAGTTGAGCGTGACATCTTTAACATTGGGACCAGTCCAGGGGTAGCGGTCGACCCTGCTCTGGCTGACCTACATATTCTCGACACGCCAGGCGCCGACACCAGAAAACGGAAAGAGTTGCCAAACGGGGCAATGGAAGAATCAGCGATGGGTCATTCCCGGCGAAACCCTAAGCGAAAGGCAACAGAAGCCGCCGCTGCTGCAACGAGCGCCGTCGCAACTCGAGAAGCTAGGCAATCGAACATCTTACTCCAGGAAGCATTGGAACCCATCAGCAAAGACGAGCTTCAGGAGTGGGAAGGCTGGTGCGAGGTGGAGTCGGAACCGGTGCGTATCTTGTTTTCTCTGCGTGCAGTGTAAGACCTGACCTTTCAGCATAGGCGTTCTTCAACGCCATTATCCGAGAGATGGGCGTGAAAGATGTGAAGGTCCAAGAGGTCTTTTCCGTTGACGAAGACTACGTCGCGACTATGCCCCAGCCCGTGTATGGGTTCATATTTCTATATCAATACTTCTCGGAGAATTACGAGGACGACGAAGTGGTTGACGGGCGAGATCTATGGTTCGCCAATCAGGTTTGTGCTCAAGATCTTGCCTTTGCCCAGTGTTTGACTGACCGTTTTCTTAGACGACGGACAATGCGTGTGCCACGGTTGCCCTGACCAACATCCTGATGAACAGCGCCGGGGTCGACCTCGGCACGAAGCTTCAGGAGTTCAAGGACGCCACAAGTCATCTCAGCACACCGCTGCGCGGCCATGCCCTCAGCTCCAACACGTTCATACGCTCTGTACATAACTCTTTCACCCGCAGAATGGACCACCTGAATGCAGATCTTTTTCTCGAAAACGAAGCCACCGAGTCGAAGAAAAAGCAGCGCAGAGGGCCGGCCAAGGCCAGGAAGACAAAGAAGCAGAAGGTCAACTCCGAATCGGGATACCACTTCATCGCCTACGTCCCAGCTAATGGCTCGGTGTGGGAGCTTGACGGCCTCAAAACTCGACCGGTATGTCTTGGACCACTGGAAGACGGCGTCCACTGGACAAACCTGGTTCGTCCCAACATCCAGGCGCGCATGCTTCAGTTCGAAGAAAGCGCACTCTCTTTCAACCTCCTGGCCCTCTGCAAGAATCCACTCGCCACCATATCTGGGAAACTTGCGAGCACAATTCGGTCATTTGAAGTACTTAACAGTCGCACCAAACACTTCGACGAATGGGAGACTTTAGTTGCTGGCAACGACCAACCATTGGGGGCTGACGAAAAAGATCGTCTTGCTGGGTTTGGGATCGAGCGAGAAGATATCGAACGAGCAGCCATGGATCCAATTTCGGAGAGGAAGCTCAGCAACCCTTCTATGGAAGCAATGGAGATTTTCGAGGTCTATAGTGATTTGGTTACGGAGCAGAAGTCTTTGATGGGGGAATATAACGGGGAGATCGCCTTCATGAAGGAAGACGAAGATCGCGTACATGGACGGCAGAAGGATCACACGCTAGCGATCCACCAATGGGTGCAAAAGCTTGCGGACCATGGAGTTCTCGCCGACTGGGCTGCTAATCTGTGATTTTTTGGGGCGCGACTGAGGAGTTGGGAGTTCACGAGGATTGAGGGAAAGTCTGCACTGCGTTGGCGTTTGGTTTGTGGGCAAAGTATACAGATGGATGCGCTGGATAGAGCTATGTCTATCCAGAACACAAGAGCATCCAGTGAGGCACCCCTTCTATAGTCTAAGACATATGGGAGCAATGACGGCTGAAAAGTTTGCATTGCTTCAATTCGGACGATGTGCTAGCCTGAGGACATTGATCCCACTCATCACAGTGGCGTGTAGACCATCTCATCATTCGATGGAATGAACCTGCAGCTTTTCCGATCAAACCTCTTGAAAAAGAGTCCTGTGTCTGTAAACATGGCGCCTGCCGCCTCGTCTGGATCCCGGATAAGCTCGAGACTTGAGGCTTTAACAAGGGAAAAGGTTCCCTGCATGTTCGGAGGTGTTCTTCTTGGGTGTTAGTCTTGGCGCATCACTCTCCACTCCAAAGGTTTAGGAGGAAACTCACAACAGCCTATAGTAGAGAATTGACCCTGAAGGCGGCACCTCTCCGTCGATGACGACTGCCACAAACCCATACCTGCCGTGTCTGACGACATGTCCAATTTGGTATTCCATGTGATTCTGGGGTTCGCGGAGTACGGGCCGCTGCTCATCAGCCCGTCTTATAAGTCGAAGTATATACTCCGGGTTAGGCGCGGCCAGGAAGACATCTCCATGGGGCTGAGGACGATTGAAATAGATCTTTTCAACCAGCCAAGCATCATCAAACCTCAAGGAGTTGAAACGCAGTGCGAAATGCGACGTAACGTCAACAAACGCTCCTGGATCGAGCAGTGTTGTTGCCCATGCAGCGGCGTACACAGATAACTCCATGTTCTGAAGAGGTGTACCGGTCCTTAGCCCGGCGAGTCTCTCAATTGAAACATCTTGGGAAGTCATGACGAGATTTGTATGCCGAATATTGTGAGCCAACCGCCCGATCATTGTCGACACGGCTGCGGGCGCCATTGTGTCGACATCTAGGCTACGCCATCCCACCTGAGATATAAAGTGCCGAAGAGTCTCTTTGCTGAACTCTTCGTCGCCCCCATACGGGTCCAGATACATTCTCTCAAGCGGCTTCTGGGTATTTGTCAATGTAGACCCGTCAAGTCCTGTATCTTTGGTGGCAAACACCATTACGAGCACATGTCCCGGGAGAGCGCAGCAGTGAGCGTTGATGCCTATTCTCTCCCCAATGCAGCAGAAGATGGCGGCCGACACCATAGGTAGTGATTGATGAGCCTCATCGCGCAGCGCATGTCCGATGAGGCAGTTTCGCAAATTGCGGTAATTTGTTTCCGGATTGCTCATACCGGTCAAATTCTTTGATCTTAGCCATCTATTCAATGCCAATGCCTGATCGCGGATGCACATGCCGCCGAAGTCAGGGTGGTCGGTGATGAACTCATCTGCCAGCACATTCAGTGTTTTAGAAACCTATGATCTGTCAGCCAGCAGCCACGAAGGCGCAGGGGTGAGCTTTACATCGTCAACGTCACCAACGTCATCGGGGAGGACAAACATGTCAAACGCAGCCAGGGCACGCTCCAGCCTGCGAGGGACGACTCTTGGGGTCTGGTTGGTTCTCCATGCCTCTTCTGCTTCCGAACTCCGTAAGCTGTCCCATATTTGAATGGCGACGCCGCGGCGAATGCTGGCGAGCATTGCGTTGCTAAAGTACCTGATGCCGATTAAGTCAGCCAACAGCAATCCAACGTCAAACTCGCACGTGTCGCATACCTCCGAGATAAGACATCTTCGGCCAGCTCAGGCGTCTGTGCTTGATTTAAGAGGAAGTCTTTCGCATCGAGACCCAGCAGGCATATCTCTTCAAATTTCTTAACCCGGCCATGCTTAGTTGCCAGAACCCCGTCGAAGAGGCTGGCAACTCTAGCGTTACGTCGTATACGGCAGAGAAAAAGACGCTTCCAGGATACCTTTGAGGCCGGCTCTAGTAATTTGTCGCGAAACTGATGTTCCGGGTGCCAATACTTGAATGAGTGCAGACAGTAGTATCGCCATAGGATAGGCTCGTTGGCGAGGTGGTGTAAGCGTCTTGATAAAGGGTGAACAGAGAGCAGGGTGTCCTCTGCTGAGACGTAGTGAAGGATCTGGAGAAGTATCTCATCCGGGACCTGGGCGAGAGAGAGCATGGCGGCGGGAGGGGCCAGGGGCCACACACAATGCCTCACCGTCGGAAACCCGAAGATCGGAACGGATGACGGCAGTGAATGCGGCGGAGTCTGCAAGACTTATACCAGCGCCCGTGTATGGCAAGGGAAGGTGCAGGCGTAAGCTGAACGTCCCCGGTTTCGAGGAGGGTGAGTTAAAGGCCAGGTTGTTCGTATTAAAAGTCCTGTGCAACGGTGGCTTGGGAAGCGACATTGGTGAAGAAGTTGACTTTGGAATGCCGCTCCCGGCTGAGTGGTTGCATCACAAATAAAAGTCTCTTTCCCACCTCAAGTGTCTCAAGCTGTGGCGGTCGCATAAGCTGCCCGCCACACACAGGGCACTCCACGTCGCTGCTCTTCCGTTGACGTCGGCCGTCACCATGGAAGGGGAAAAAAAGAAAAGGGTGGATCCAGCTTACTGTGTGGGGCACTAGGTACCTACCTACCACACTCATTGAGCATGCGCTGCGGGGAGGCAAGCATAGGTACTGTGATTGGCTGAGTGTGGGCCGAAAGCAACTCACATTGGGCACAAAGGCTGGAGGGAAAAAACCGTGCCCGGGCGTCCCCAGCAAAGTGAGGTGTGCCCGCGCTATTCCCAAACAGGTATCCAGTAAACAACAACGCGCCAACCCGATGACCGCGAACCCTTGGGTCCAGGGTACACCTCGAATCCCACTTTCAACACCGCGACTGACCGGGCTCTAATTATCACGATCCAGGCATTGCTCTTATCGCGCAGTTACTGCTCTACGTCGCTTCGATTTCCTGCTTGCTTTGTTTTGCATCAGCGCCTGCTCTTCAGACCTCCTACATTCGGCCCCCCAAATTAGTGCCATGTTCACTACCACGAGACCACATTTCTAACTCGCGCATCCATTCACCCCTCTGTTAGTCGAACGCGGTCGAGATGGTCCAACCTGGCGTCGACGGCCTCGACACGCCGCGCACAAACGTTGGCGACGCGACATATCTCAGACAGCCAGACTTCGATATTTCGCAAGAAGCCTCCTTCCAGTCACCGGCAAAAGGCAACAACAACTTGCTCCAGCAATTGCGCAATGGCCGTTCTGGCGGCATCAACCTTCGCACCCCGCGGGGTCGCGCTCCCTTCATGGACCGAAAGAACCTGCCTGCAGGGCTGGGAGGGGCAGAGTTCACCCCAATGCTCAAGTCTGCAACAAGAAATAGCGCGCGCCGCGGCTTCGGCAAGGAGAACGGCGCCGTGCCCAACACACCTGCACTCGATCAGCTCGATGGAGACATGACGCCAATTCCCAATATCGACACCTCCATGTACCACTCCCGTTCTTTTGCGGACCGCACACCGCTCCCCGAAGTCGATAGTACAAGCACGACATCTACACCGCTAGTCGTATTACCACGTCGAGATGGCAAAGGCCCGTTGCAGGATGGTAATCAACTCTCGCTACGAGAGCAGGAGAACGTCATCGATAAGATCGAAAAGGAAAACTTTGGCCTTAAGTTGAAGATTCACTTCCTCGAGGAGGCTCTGCGGAAGGCCGGCCCCGGGTTTAGCGAGGCCGCTCTGAAGGAGAACACGGATCTCAAGGTCGACAAAGTGACAATGCAGAGGGAGCTCCACAAGTACAAAAAGCATCTGACTTCGGCGGAAAAGGACCTTGAGAGTTACCGTCAACAAATGATGGAGCTGCAGGAGAAGGCCAAAAAGAAGTATGCGGATCAAAAGCAGCTGGCCGAAATTGAGCGCCTGCAACGAGCTTTGGAGGACAGGGAAGCCGACCTTGACGACATGCAACGCCAACTGGATCGGGATCAACAAGACCAAGGCCAAGTGGACAAACTTCAGGACGAGGTTGGCGATCTTGAGGCCGAGATCCGCGAGAAGGACCGCATCATCGGCGATCATGAAGACGAAATTGACGATCTCAGGTCCAAGTTGGTGGACATGGAAGACAAGATGAAGGATACACAACGGCGGATGATTGAGCTTGAGCAGAGTGCGCAATCTAAGGACGATTTGGATGATGCTAGAGATACCATTGACGACCTGGAAACGAACGTGCGCCGATTGGAGGAGCAAGTCGACGAAATGAAGGGCAAGCTGAATCAGGCCATTGCGGACAAGGAGCAGGCCAAGGGCGACCTCGATGAGCTTCAGGAGGAATTGGCGAACAAATCTGTCATGACCAAGGGCCTTTCCCGCCAGAAAGAAGAGAAGCTTCTGCGGTTACAGGCTGAGCTGGAAGAAGCAGACACGAGGTTCGCGGACCTTGAGAAGCAACTATCCGACGTCGTCAAGGAGAATGACAGCCTCAAGGCCGCCGCCAAAGAAAGTCTCCGCGAACGCGAAGCTGCAGACCGAGAAAACCAATCACAACTTGGAAGGATCGAGAAGCAGCTTTCTGATATGACCAGAGAGAAAGATGAACTGAAGGCAGCCGCTCAGGAGGGCCGCCAGGAGCGAGCACTTTCCGACCGGGAGCACCAGTCATTACTCAATCAGGTGGAGGACCTTCGGAGCGAATTGCAACAAACGTTGGACGAAAAGAACCTGTTGCAGACTCGGCACGAGGCATTGACAAACGAGTCAAGGTCTTTGCAACGCGACGTGGAACGCCTTCAGCAGTCTGTTGACGAACTGGAAGAGAGCCTCGCTCAGGAGAGAGACCACGCCTTGGAGATTGAACGTGACATTCGCAGTCAGTACAGGGGCGAGATCGACCGTCTCAACGACGAGATCTCCGATCTACAAGCCGAGATTCGCGAGAAAGATAACCTTTACGATAATGATAGTGAAAAATGGGAGACTGACCGTCAAACGCTGGAGTCTGGACGAAAACGGGCGGAAGAAAAGGCGGCCGGGCTAGAGCGAACTATCGAAAAGTTGCGCGAAGCAGAGGGTAACCTGTCGTCAAAGGAATCAAGATTACAGGAAGCTCTTGAGAGCGAAGCCCAGCGCCACAAAGACGAGCAGGCATCTCTAAGCCGACAAATCGATGATCTCCAGCAAAACCTCGAGACACGGCAAGCCATGCTCACGGACCTGCGCAACGAGCTCTCCCAAGTTCAGGACGAACTCCGTCAAACGCAGCTCGACTACCAAGCGCAGACAGAGAGAGTCGAGGCACTGGAGGACGAGGTCGAAGTCTTGCAGACAACTCTCGACGAGGAATCCGAGCACTCTCGGGAGGAACTTGAGGCGGCTAGGAAAGAATGCGATGCGCTGAATCAACAACTGGATGAGCTTCGCCGTTCAGCAGATCTAGCTCGAGGCTCAGCATCGACTGAACAGGAAAACGCTACGAAGTCCAACCAGACAATAGACCGCCTCCGAGCGCAGCTTGACGAAGCAACCTCTCTCGTGTCCAAGTTGAATGGGGAGAAGGAATCCCTCCAAGATCAAATGCAGAAACAGCTTTTGGACTCAACTGCCCAGGCAACCAAGGTTTCTCGCGAGAAGCAGACACTCCAGGATCAACTTGCAAATCTCAACCTCAAGATGCATTCTTTGCGAAGCTCTTTGGCCGAGGCACAAGCAGAACGAGACGAGGTCGAAAGTGAGATGAAACGCATGCACAACAACGGCGAGGAGACATTACGCGTCGATCGGGAGCGACTGGACCTGAGGACAGCCAAGATGAAGCTGGACAACGAGGTGCGAAGACTCAAGGATGAGAATAAGATCTTGATAGACCAGATGCAGCTGGCCGAGAAGTCTCTCGAAGAGGAGATCGAGAAGGCTGCCGAAGAGGAGGATCGTCTCAACCAGGAGATTCGTCAACTCCAGGTCAAGCTCCGGGAAGTCTCTTCGTCGGAGGGTCATGAATCCGCTGCTACAAGACGCACCATCCGCGAACTTGAGCGCCGTATCAAGGATTACGAGGATCAGTTGGCGATGACACAGCAACTGCCCGCCAACAACTCGGGTGAAGGTAACAGCGAAATATCCCTCATCCGCCGCGATCTTTCAACGGCGCGGCAGAAGGAGAGGGAATACCTTCAACGTGAGGCAGCGCACAAGGACGTCGTCAGAGGCCTCAAGAAGCAAATCACAGAGCTCGAGAGCAAAGCCCACGATGCTGAAATGTCCCGCCTGATAATGTCACCAGCGTCATCAAGCCCCTCGACTAGGAAGTCCGAGGTCGTGGAACTTCGCCACCAACTGTCTTCGGCACAGCAGTCCATCCACGACCTGAAGACAAAGGCACGCGACGCCGAACGCAGGGCGACACAACTCGAGCGAGACTTCCAGACCCAACTTGAAGAACTCGAAGATCAAAAGCTCTCCCTCGAGCAGGCTCTTGATGATGCGGAGCGGGAGTCTGAAGAAGCCGCTGCCCTTCACGAGAAAGCTTTGGGCAGACTAAAGCAGAAGCTCGAGAGGGCTGAGCAGGATCGCCAAATCGTCGGTCATAGCCGCCGTGACGTCGGCAACATGTCATCTTCCGAGCGCAAGGATCTCCAAAATATGCTCCGGAGGACACAGTCAGAGGCTGATGCACTGGAACACGACGTGATCCAGCAGCAGGAGACCATTGACACCCTCATGGCCGCTGAGGCGTCGCTCCGGCGCAAACTAGAGAGGGCGCGCAGCGAACGCGCAGCTTACCGCCTAACTGCTGAGAAGTTGCAGAAGGATATCCGCGACCTCAAGTCTCAGGCTGCCTCAGACGCCAAGGACCAGCGCAACGTCCACTTCATCGATGAGAGAATGAGAGAGACGGACGAGGCACTGGAGACTGTCATCCGGGCAGCTGAGAACGCGGATGCGAAGCACACCAAAGAGCTTCGCGGCATGACCCTACAGATGGAGTGGATGCAGGCACGGTGGAAGCGGGAAGTCAGCTTGCGTGCGGATGCTGCATACGCAAAGAAGTTCTTGCAGCTGGAGCTCGATGTTGCTAATGCATGGTACGTTTCCCTTAATCTGCTAGCTGTTACGCCATTCGTCTCCCATACTGACAGTCAAACTACAGCAACAAAGCTCAGCTGCGCGAACTGGAGCAGATTCGGTGTGACCTGCTTGGGAGCCGCCGACCCCTGCCACCGACATCCTCGGCGCTCGCGAAGAAGGACACCACCGGCGGCGCCGGTCCCGGGCGACCGACGCTCAAGACGGTTGCGACGATGGCGCGCTTCATTGCCCGGATGCGCATCTCTGCGCGCGAGTGGGCCAAGCACGAGGCCACGCGCCGTAAACTGGCGGATTGCGTCGACGAGATGCGCAAGACCAAGAGGAGGAAGCAGCTCAAGGTGGTGTCAACAGGTCACGTCGAGGCCTGATGGAAACTCTGCCCACGGATGGTCCTGTGAAAGGTGTTGAGGAATGGCGACAAGTGCTCCTCAAAAGGGATTGTCTCAATAGTGCCTCTCTCTTTCGCTCTCTCTATTGGGCCGCGTTGCAGCTGAGCTGAAGATGCAGCGGCATGATCGGGCATCCCTTCACGCATATCCGCATTAGCACGGTGTTTTTCTTTGGTTGTTGTGTTTTTCCCCCTGTAGTATTGCATATTGCTGCAGACCCTTGACGTTGCAGCGGGAGCGAACGAACGAAAAGGAGTTTGGTTTGCGACCCTCCTTCCCTATTTGTCCATGATGGCGGTTTGGAGAAGGGCCGGGCTAGCTTAAAGGGGACAGACAGGATAGGTGGCTAGGGGGTTTGATGGGCAACACAACTCTGGACGATTATTGGCTTGCTGTTCACTACTACCCATCACCGTTCTCATTTGTCCCGCTGGGCAATGCTGGCAATGCATCAAAAACGGTTTCCTGTTGGTTAGTCGGGGTCGGTTGGATTGGTAAGGGAATGGAGAAACGGGAGTCTGGATTGGTTGTTTTACTCGTTTGTCTCTTTCTTATTTTCTATCTGTTTCACAGTGCGGCATGGTGGACGACAGATTGCATCAACCGTAGATACCTAAGACAATTGGTTTTCTGGATTCCGACATACATGCGGTCCCGCGTGCAAGCTTCGCTCCAGATTAAGCAGGTCCAGATTCTCACACTTCTCTTCGCACTATCGAGTCCGGATGGGATGAGGTGGTGGTATGGCAGGAAGCGTACAGTTTAGTGTAGGTTTGCATGATGGCCAGCAAGCGCTTCATCGCTTCTGAAAACTCGAGCAGCTTTTGTGAAATTCATTTTTACAAGCCACCGAATGAGGGAGGGATAAACTGTGTCTTGTACCACAAAGGGCAACAACCAAGCGAGGTTGCCAACAGCAAAAGCATTTCCCGGAATACCCCGAGTTCCACAGTTTTCGCCAGCCCAACCTTTCTCTTTTCGTTATGATCTCCGTGTCCACCTACCACGTCTTTCAAACCTTATTATAGTCTTTCGAGGCCGAAATAGGGAACAATGACATATATAGGGCGGACCGGCCGTTACGTGGGGTATATTACATGACGAACAGAAGATTGGTGTCTTTCGTGCCGCGTTAGCATGGGTGTTTGATACGTGCGTGATATTGCATACTCAGAGGGTGACTGCAAGACAGCTGCGGCTTTTGCGTATAACGAGTGGCAAGTTCGTCGCGAATGCTATTGAGAAGCTGTACGTAGCTCTGTTGGGGATTCTTCTTGAGAGCTGTGATGAAGGCCCAAGACATGGCGCCAGTGGCTTGAGCAGCAATCGTTGCATCGGCCCTAGGTTACAGATTAGTGTTCGCGTCCTGCAGGTGCACAGGGAAAGGAGACAAGATTGGTTCCCTGCCACACTTGCGGCTTGAGGTACAAGAAACGACCGAACGTGACTCGTCGCCCTAGACACAATGCTGCACCGCAAATACGGTTGCGCCTTGCTCTAGAGCGTGGGTGATATCGCTGGCCTGCTACACTGGTCCCATAAATATGGACAAAAACAGCCACCTGAAGTTACTCGCTTTGTACAATTCGCTTGTTGCCTTCTCGCCCGGAGAAACATGAATTCAAACATAGGAGCCAACCCCGGCAAGATTATGATGACGAGGTGGCCCAGATTACAGAAAGAAAAAGAAAAGCAAGGGTATCATAAGATGAAATAGAGAAGGGGGCCATACGAGGTCTGGTCGTCTTTGCTTCCCGAGAACATGACGACATCTGCTGGAGATGTCTTCGTAGCCATTGCGCGATTGTGGGCGTCTTCTCCGGTGGTGGCCTTCTTGAAGAAGCCCATGATGTTGCTTGCAACGCCACCAAGGTCGCCTTGGCTGTATGATGAAATAACACCAAGAAGTCCTTGGCCGGCTTCCTTGGCCAAGTTGGGCTCCTTGAGGATACCCTGGGTTGAGTAAATGTACGGCAAGTCGAGGGCAGTACCGGAGTGACACGAATCGAAAATAGCTGTGAGCCTCACACCAGCTTGTAGCGGCTGCACCATGATCCTGTGCATCTCATCGTCCGTGATGTGACCGGTCTGGCGGAAGTCCACGGGGTAAATGACCTCATCATACCCGTCGTCCTCATCACCGTCGAGATCTTTGGTTTGACCGCCGTGACCTGTGCGCGTCAGTATTTTAGACAGCATTCGTGCTGTATCCCGGTATACCTGAATAGTGGAAGAAAAGAGAGTCATTCGGCCTCGCGTCCTTCACCAGCCAGTGCATAGCTCTGAGCAGGTTCTGTTTCGTCGGCTGGCTCATAGGGTTCTGCTGATCGTCTGTCAGGAGGACCATGTCCTCTCGCTTGTATCCGAATCGTTCCACAAGATAAGCTGACATGTTCTTCACGTCATTGATGCATCCACGCAGCTGGCCACGTTGACCAAAATAATTGATACCAATCAGAAGTGCCTTTCTCCGACCAGTGCAATTGGAATATTGGAAATTGTAGCCATTAGGAGCACCATGACCGAATCCCTGTGGTTGACTCGGCGGCGGCGGCGGAGCATTGTGATTCCCATGCATGTACGCATTCGAGTTCACTGTCGGCATCCCTGTGGAAAATGAGCACATCGGCTCGTAACGAGACGAAAGCTCTTTCAGAGCTCTGCGTGACTTACCAGGGCGGTTGTTGTAATTGGGCTGAGGCGGGTAGCCGCCATATTGCTGAGGAGGAGGAGGCTGAGCGGCATATCAGTTGACGAAGCAGGAGGCTGAGAAGAGTTTTAAATCGTACTTGGTTATATCCGTATGGTTGAGGAGAAGGCTGTTGGTAGCCGTACGCCGACCCTTGGGGAGGGTATGCATTGTAGCCTTGTTGGGGCGGGCTTTGCGACAAGATGTCAGCGTGGACGCGTGTGCAGGGAGATTTCTTGAGCCATACGGGTAGTAACCGCCCGGAGGCGCATATTGCTGTTGAGGAGGTGGACCACCTTGATATCCTCCGTAGTGACCCGGATACCCAGACATCCTGGAGATATGGTCCTTGGATTAGGTAGGTTTGGATCGGACGGCCCGCCCGGTAGGCGTCTAAAGAACGAAAGCTCGACGAAGTGTTCTGGACGAGGATCTGCACAGAGCAAACCGGACCGGGGAATTAGAGTATCTTATAGAAAGTGCGACGATTTCGATCGAGAGACGGCGAGGGGGGGAGCGAGGAAGTTGCAGGAGGACAAGGTAGGTTGTGCGGGAGGCAGATGCGCGTGCTTGGGTCTCGGGACTAGTCGAGTGACAACGGGGCCAATGTCAGCGGTTGGTGAGCGCGAAAACGGTTCGAGCTATGGCGACGGGAGTATTCTCTGATAGCGCCAGCAAGGGCACTAGCTGACAAGCCTACCTTAAAGCGGGAGATGGGTCATGCAGCAAGGGTGGATTGGATGGTAGGCGGTATTGCTAGCTGGATATGCTTCGGCTGGCGGTCGAGGGAGTCGGCTTGCGAGAGGGACGGATCGGGATGGAGGACGTATTCGGTCGAGGTAGGCGCCTGTTGATGCAAAAACTGGTGGTATTCCAGCAGCTGAGGCGGGGAGGGAGACGAGCTGGGGGATTGTCGAATGGCAACAGAGAAGACGACGCACGCAGAGTGTTAGCTTGCACAGTGGTGTGTGGAAGAAAAGACGCGGACGAGGAGGTAAGCGAGGGCGCAGGACAGGATTCGGTTTGGTGGACAGTGATGATGTGTGGAAGAATGTGGAATGTAGAGTGAGGAGTGTGAGGAATGTGCAACCCGACGTGATGGAGGTCGGAAGGAAGTAGAGAGACCCGACGTCGAGAGGTCAAGGCAAGCCGCCGAAGGCACAGGCACGGGCAGAAGAAGCAGACACAGACACAGACACAGGCACAAGTACAAGCACAGGCTCAGACTCTGGCGTGCCGGTGAGGTGGTGCTGGTGGTGGAGGAAGAGGAAGGGTCTTTTTTCCAAAGCTGGCGCGGTAGGTATCCATGGATGGGTGGTAGTCGAGCTACCTAGGTAAGGTTGTATAAATTGTTTGGCGGGGGGGGGGATGCTGACGCGCGGGAAACAAAGTGTACGACGACCGAAGAAAGGCCAGGCCAGGGCAGCAAGGTGGGGGACTCAAGGCAACACTGAGCAGATGGCTGCCCACGGATCTTCACCTCATGCACGAATACCTTATGGCATGTGTAGACCGTACCTCAAGGTAAGGTACCTTATGTAAGGTAGATGGCAAGCAAGGTGGGATGAAAACTGGCACCGGTAGGTACACAATGACGAACCGCTAACAAGTCTACGTAATGCTGGGGCAATTGTCGCAGGCGCCGAGGAAGCGGACGGCATGTGCCTACCGACGAAGCTGTCAAGGCAGTCACGATTGGATTTGGACGGAAGGAACGGCTCAAAGCCCAAGAGCATCTGCTAGCGGAGGTGGGTCCGAGTACCTAAGCACCTATTATGTAAGGTAGGTACCTGCTTGGTGTTTCCCCATGACGATGCCTAACGTAGGTCGCAGTCAACTTTTCTCCAAAAGAGAAGGAAAAGGTTGTACATACTGCACAGTACAGGTCACGATCTGTGAGGTAGAGACCGGCAGTCAGTGGTAAGGCACACACAAGTCGACTGTCCGTACGGATACGCTTTGGCCGTACCAAGACCTTTTCCCATCCCGGCGAGAGCCGAGAGAAAGGCGGGTTCCACAGGCGCTAGCCCTCTTTAGGCCGGTCCGCAAACCAAAATCAAAGCTGCCACGCTGCCACCTGCTGCACCGCGCTGCGTTGTTGGTCGTGCAACCGTTGCGACAAACCCACGACCTCTGCTCCAGTGAGTGCCGCATCCCGTCTTCTGCTGGGCCTCCACGCCTGCGTCTGCGGTATGATATATGTATGATATGGTACAGCATGACATGGCATGGCATGGCGCGGCGTGGCGTAAGGTTCCACCGAGCCCGAATGGAATTCATCGCCGTATTCCAGCCCACCGGGGCGCCGCCTTTCCCTCCCGTGTCCTGAGACCCTTGAAGTTGTTCCATCGCCTGCTACAACAAACCGTCCAGTCTCACTTGTTATCTGCTCAGGCGCGCTTGTGTCTCGAACCCAGTTTCCTGAGGTAAGGTACCTTAAGGTAGCCTGAGCCCAAGTCTTGGCCCCGGCTCCCCACCTGGGGCTGCTGAACCCTTTCCCCGGTCCAGCTGAGAATTCAAAGCAGATGCGGAAGTATCTGCGCCCATCAATCGTGGCTGATGAACAACCACAACCACTTCGAGTAAAGACGGGGCCGCCTCATGAGAAATCAGCCGCTGTCAACCCGCGCTTCTTCCATCATCTCTGCCCTTGACGGCCTGAACATTCGGCCTGCTGAGGGCACCTTCAAGCTGGACGCCTACTACCCAGGTGTCAGTCGACGGCCGCATTGCTTCCCGCCATGACAAACATGCCTTGGTCACCAGCCTTGCTGGCCCACCAAACTAGACGTCAAATCCTTGTCAGCAATCCACAGAAAACATCGCGTCGCCAAATTCTTCGCGGAGAGTCCGTAGTCTAGAAACCAAGCGCCGAGCTGCCAGCATTGCATGCGTACGGATACATCACTTGGTCTTATTGCTGTCTCGATCAAACCATTAGGCCCCCCTCCAAACTGTCAAGGCAATCAATCTATCGAAATGCCACAGGCCACCCACGTTCATGTCGTTAGGACCGGTTATTTTTATTTTTATTTTCTTCCCGTCGGCCCTACAGCCTCTGCGCTAGGCGCTGCAAGAGATCCGATGCTGTGGTCGATAGGCTTGAGGTACGCAGTCTATTTTCCCCGATCCCGAAGCGGTATGGCCACGGGATTGCCGATCATTGTGGCGTACCTGACTGCTTGGGGGCGGGAGGCATCTGGCTAATGGCAGCAATTGCCAATCCCTTACCACCAACCCCTGGCCCAGCCCAGGGGACTCCTCTGCTTCGTCGTTGGGGTTGTTGGGGTCCAAGATGCTGCGGTACGCCATGCTACCCACCGGCGCTCAAGTTTCCAATTATCCCGTCCGAGACAACGCATACAGATCTCAGGTGGACCGCCCATGCATGTTTCTACGCTGGCGTTGGCCGCGACGACGGTGTTCAGCATCTGCAAACGCAATGAGGAGCAAGCCGCTCGCGAAGAATGAATGTTGCTTGATTGCACACGAGACGTCAAGGGTTAGTTAGTTCTCGGCTTGAAGGCCTCTGGCAAGGCAACGCGGAGACAGGACACGCGATTTTGTCTCCGAACAGCTGGAGCAGCTCGGGCCGCCGTTGTCGTCATCGTCTGAATATTTATTTGATTGGATATGAAGTTCTCGGTTTACGAGAAGAGCTAGAGACTATGCAGTCCACAACACACGCCAGACCGCCGCCAATGTCCGTTGAACCTTCTCGGCGTCTTGACCCAAAGCATTACCAGCCTCCCGGGACTCTGGCCGTGCGAGCTAACGAGGTTGTGCATCCAAACCATCGTGTCTCCAACCCGCATGCATCGCCCTACGTCCAGAGAATGCTGCCCTGGCGCCTCCAAGCCTCGTGGCATTGGGCTGTCACCGTCACACATTCTGTGGCATCCAACGACATGATCGAACAGCTACTTGCGAGGCTGTTGTGCCAGCCTATGACGGGTCGCGCGTCGTATCGTCAAGCCACCTAGACCCTGGCCCGCCTACTCGGGAACCTTGCATCCTCCCGCTTTTCGTCCGCCTGCGAGCCAGTGTCGCTTGTCGCACTCTCGCGGAGGTGGCTTGGAACACCTCTATTTCCGGACCTCAAGCCTGCCCGCCGTCGAGCGTTGTCTTCGAGGTGTCGACGCCAGCTCTTAGACAACGAGTAACGAGACATGTTCGGGGAAGGCTTGGCAAGCGTCGGCCAATTTCCATCTACGGCTGTCTTGCCCAGTTGCTCTGAAGTTCGGTATCACTTCCAGAGTGAGAGGCTCTGCCGAGACGATCTCAGCCTCCCAGCCACTGCGAGGCATTGTGTGCCACCAGCCGGCTTCATCGCATGGTGCACAGCATCTCCTGAACGACGTGGTGTTCATGAGAGCCACGCACCGATTCCACGACAGCAACTCATTGCAGCCAGCTGGAACTCGCACGTATATTACACATTTTTTTGATCATACAGAAGGAATAATGTCGGCCAGCTCGAATCATCATTGTCGACCAACGCCAATTCCATGGCGTTGGATCAGACATTCTGAAAGTTCTCGAACCCGTTCAATATAGCCCGGGAACATCTTTGTCTTAGCAGAACCGCCATACGGCTTCTTGCTTAGTGGCCTGGACAGAAGTGCATCATCGGGCTTTGTCGCACTCCGTGACCATCGACGCAACTAACGCGCAGCAGTAAGTCTGCTTGAACTACCAAGTGAACGACCTGCGGACCGCATCGCTATCTCGCAGGTTGCAGATGCATCGTAGATCAATATGCGCGCCTAGACGGGCTTTGGCCGAAGCTTGGAAAGTCAAAATGGATGGCGATCGATGTGTGCGTTTTCCGGTCACGACGAAGTATTACATACTCCACAGTACGTGCTGGAACCTGGTCCAAACAAGTTATTCTACGCGTAACTCGATTGTATCTCGAGGGAACCCTTGGCCAAAACAGAAACTCAAACTCTACATGTGATGGTTGCAACACGCTTCTCGCACCCTTGTACGAACGTACACAAGCGCACGCGCAACACATACGCCGTACACACCGAAGCTGGCTCTCGCAAAGTATGCTCATGAGCGTCCACTTTTATTCAGTGGCTGCACGGACTTTATCAAGGCGAGGTGAGCCAAGCCAATGGTTCGTTGGCGGCGTTCTTGACGAGAAACGTCCGAAGTCATCCGAC